TGATTTGTTAATAATAAAATGTAATTATTAAAAAAATACCATCAGGTTAAATCTTAACAACTCTGATTAATTTAAAAATTAGTTGTAAACCAAAAATATAACCATTAATGTTCTTCGCTTCGGCAAAGGAGTTAAAATTATCTCCCTTGGAAATTCATCCAACACAAAATACGTTTTTAATCTTCCTCAGTAGAAGCCGAAACCTTGCGATTTAGCTTTTTAGTATGCTATGCTGGATATACTTTACTTGATGCGTCATTTGCAATTATTTTTTTTCTTTTACTTTGAAATTATTTTTACTGTGATAAAATTACCATTCTGTTCCTGACGAATGTGACCTTCAATATGAAGATATTAGATAACCTGTCAGATGAATCATGCGAAGGGAATGCAGTTTTTTTATTTTTTATTTTCATATCTAAACAAGAATATCTTTACAGTTACAAGCACAAGAAGAAAAAAAGTAAAGAAACTGAACTAACGTCTTTCAAGCGGTGTAATATTTTAATCACCATGCTACCTGATTTTTTTTCTCCCCTTCGTGATCGTTTAAGAGACAATTAGAATTCTTATGATAATATTCTGGCTCAGAGGACTGAGGAACTCAAGTCAAAATTCTTGATGGTCCCATGAAAAAAATTTGATGGTTTATGTTGGTTTCAGTGCGATTCATGATGGTCCGACATCATTTGATGGTCACCATCATCCAACATTTATCATTCTGTGTTCATGGTGTTTGATATGCCAACAAACTTCCATCATTCCATGATGGAAAATGCATTTTTAATACTATGATGGTTAACCATCAATAGAATTTGATTCTCACGAACCAACGATTCATGATGATCCGTGGTGGTCCATGATGGTTCCAACTACACATTTCCATGATGTTATAGTAGGAATTTTTGATGGTTCTCAGGAATATACCATTAAAACATTTTTTTTTTATGTTGGCCGATTATAAATCAGTCCGAATTATTCCTTCTTTCGGATGATGGTTGTTCATGATCGTTCCAATATTTTATTTCTAGTAAACTATGGAAATTCGCGATGGTCCATAATGGCACAACAATACGTTTCCATGATGGTTTAATGTAAATTTCTGTTGGTTCAGCAGGAATATACCATCAAAACATTTGGTTTTTCTTTATGTTGGCCATCGTAAATCAGTCAGAATTCTTACATTGGATTGGAGTGACGGTTACTTATGTTGGTTACCATCAAAAAATGATGGAATTATGGATGATTTCCTTCAAGATTATGTTGGTCCATCAATGGAAAACCATCAAAAATTTTGATTTGCGAAATAATTGTAGAATCTTGCATACTTATTTACTGTGTAGGTTTGCAAATAACTTTCGTATATGAGAGATTAACACTTTGTTGAACCATTAATTAGCAATTATTTTGATCTTTAAAGACGAATCATTGTTGAATCTAAGACGCATGATTGCGGTCATGGATTGTAATAGTTTTTATTTATGTACGTAAATTTAATAATTTATTATTGATTACTAGTTATAGTCCAATTGCCGTCGGACTAACCACGGGAGGTTTTCCTCTCCGTCTAACGCAAATGCGAGATAGTTCCACCTTCATGAATCAATCCAAATTGCTTTAATGCTTGGTTTAAACCTTGGGAAGTAACCGTGGTTTTCTTTATCATGTAACGCAAATGCTGATTAGTTCCGCCAAAAAGTCCTCATTCCGTTTATCCTAATTTTTGATCCAAGAGTTCCCCTTTCAAAATTACAAGAGTTTAGCGTCAAAAGCCTCAAACACAAAAATCATACGGCTGTTCAACGAAAGTTGTAAAATAAAATAAAGAACTTGACCCCGGAGTTCCTTTGCCTTCTTTGTTGTGCTAAAAATGACATAAATATCGAGTTAAACATTGATAGCTTAATTCCAATTTAAATCTCTGTTCAATGCTTTTGGCAAAATCTAAGTAATTTGAACCGGGATGGTTCAGGGACAAGAGCACCTGCCACCATATGAGGTTCGAATTCTTGTTCTTGCTCGTATCGGCCATAGTGGAGATGAAAAGCATCTCTGTTTAATCTAACTGAGGAAGTTTTGCGTAGTTTTCCCCTACACGTTACATTTGCGACTTTTAATTCATCACAAACTGTGTCCCGTGAGTGCGAGTTAGTTCCAATGCTTGATTCAGAAGTTCTCGTCTTCTGTGTTAAAAATTACAATGCTACGGTGTTAAACACAGATAGCCGCAAATCTGATATGGATAAAGCGTTCAATGCCGATGACAAAATAAAATCTACTATATTTGTAAATGTTTACTTTCATCATAATTAACAAAAATGAAGAAAATATGTCTATCATTATGTCATGGAAATATGAAATTTACTTACTGGTCAATAATGTCCGGATTTTATTTGAGTCTGCGGTCAATTTTCAATAAAAATTGTTGCTAGCATATTCCACTGTTTAAGTTATACTCATTAAAATTAATTCGTACAAAAAATAGAATAATTTTATGTTCTTTTGTACTTTGTATTAAATTTTTAATTTATTAATTAGTTACTAATACAAGTTAAAACCAATAATGCATATTCGGTAAAAGGATATGATTTCCAATTAATTCAAAATTTAAACAAAATTAGACACAGTGCACATTTTCAGACTTAAAAGTACATGGCTCCAAATCATCATAAATCTATTGTTAACAGTTTTCTCTAAACTAAATTACACACCGAAAAAATTTATTGACATTAACAAATATCCACAAAAACAGAGTTTTCGTACCAGAATATTCCTTAAACGTTTCGTTAAAAACGTACAAAATGTTTCCGTTTTTACCTCCATCAGTTTTTGCGATATGAGAGTCAGAAGAATGCTTGGAGTAAATTTTCTCAAACTGGTATTGACGTCAGTAATTCTCTATATAATATAACAACGTCAACAAAATAAACACTTCACGTTTTCTTTTCAGAAACTTCACTTCTTTTTACGCTTAAAGAATATTAATTAACAATGTTTTGGTTGTTACAATTTTTTTTCTAATATAAAGTGAAAACTAGACTCAGAATCACCTGCCTTTCGACCTCTGAATTGACTAAAACAAGTTTAGAAGCTGAATAAATAACTAAAGGCGTAACTTAGCTTCGGTTATTACGTTCGTTTTTGTAGTATTACGAATTAATGAAGGTCAATTTTGTAATACATAAAAAGAGTGTTGTATAATAATCAGGCACTTTACAAAAGGAATTGTGAGGATTAGTTGATATTACTTAATAAGAAGCTTATTTTTAAGTGAGTAGTTCTTCTGTTTATTTACAATTAAGAAATTTTCAAAAGAAAATCAAAGTTTTTTAAAAAATAGTGAATTTTTTACAGATTTTTATTATGATATTCGTTCATTATTTTTATGACACACGGTAATTTTAAAAATTCAAACAAAAAAATGAACTCATGTGACTTATTTTAAATATTTATAGCTAAATTGAATTTAATAATTCGTAAAACGTAAAGATATTTAAAAATAATAATAAAATAATTTATTTATTTATATCTTATCTTAGTTTAATAATTCTTAAAACGTAAAAATCCTTAGAAATTAAAATTAAATTAATTCCTTTTTTGTAAGGAAGTGTTTAAATTTTTGAATTTATTTCATAAATTACATTAATTTAATTATATTAAATCTGAAAAAGGTACAAGTATAATAATTCATTAAAGCAGTGGTAAAAATTGAAAATGCTTTTACCTTATGTATAAGCAAAGACTTTATTACGGAATAATATAAAATATACACTGCCAATAGAAAGTTGTAGCAAGCATGAATTTTGAACCATTTTAATTTTTTATTTAATTTTCACTTTAACTTTTTGACATGATTTCGTCTGCGTAAACCTAAAAGAGATATTTGGATTAAAGCTAAGTCGGATATAAGTATTATGGTTTGAAATTGTCGAAGCTATTTTAGCTTATTTTTTCAATGAAATTGAGACTCACAACAATAATCTCAATGGAGGTTTTTGATGCTGTTAGTTTTTATACTAAGTGGAATGACGAAATTCATATATTTATAAACATCGAAGATTCGCTTAATTTTCGTATCTCTTTGTCACTGGTTTTTTAATGGTTATAAAGGTTTGAATTCAGCATTTTCATTAAAAAAACATATGAAAATAAACTTTTTTATCAAAAAGAATATTTTAGCATAATACAATTTTAAAGCGACTGTCTTTTAAACGACGAATTGAATGTACTAATCGTAGTTCTACTTATTTCGATTTATTTGATTAAAACACTATTAACCCCTTCCTTCTCTCTCCCGTGAAAATGACGGGGTGAGTTCTCGCCCTCTATTTCTCGCTCCCGTAATATTGACGTTCTGGAGTGTTCAGTAGTAACGCGCCAATAAGAATAAAACTGATTCATTTCTTTTGTCCGGAAAACATTTTATTTCCCATTTTACACACCAGATGGCAGTACCAAGATATTTTTAAGGTAATCGTAGATAGTTTATTTTAAACTATTATGTAAGCCCTAGTCAGCACGTAATACAAATACAAAGGTAAAAAAAAAAATAGGCACTTTTATGACTGTTTTCTTGAAAATTAACCGATCGTTAAGGGGTTAATTAACATATTTTAAGAACTATTCGAAAAGTTTTAAATCTTCTGCACCAAAGATTAAAAACCATGAGTATAGGATAGGATGTTTGTTTACAGACGTGCTTGTAATTCAGATAACAGAACAATACACAGAAACATCTTATTGCTTGCAGGGAAATCACGATGTTTTTTTTACCAGAAACGCTACCCTGGGTAGTTTGAAAATGTCTATCAACAGTAGTAGCTTATGATATTGCCCAAACTTATCATATCATATCATATATAATATGCAATGTCATATCATATCATATATAACTTATTGGCCTAAGTCCTTCATGTGCAGATCTCTTTAAAAATAATACATTGTCTTTTAATAAAATCAATCCTTATTAATTCTAACATTTTTATTTCTTTTAAAATTAGGATTCAAGTATATAGCAAGAATATTTCCCTCCATCAAAATAAACACATCAGGTACAGCCTTTGAAAAAGCAAATAAAACAGCCAATAAGGACACGCCAGAGACAGACTACAAGAGTCGAAAACATCAAAGTCCCCAAAATGGGTCTCGGTTATGAGTTTCCTCAAAAGAAGACGACCAATGACAGGTAATTTCGTAAATTGCATTTTCTATAAGCGTTAACTTTTTTCTTCTTACGGAATTTTTTTTCTCCATTTGTAACAAAACTGTTTTAAATATTAGATTCCTAGATCAATAACGTTTATTGAAAATTATTTCGAGTAATAAAACATAAATAATCAAAAGCCTCAAAGGTAATAAGGGAACAAAAACATTATGGAAAACAGTTGAATCACTAGTGAGTAAGGTGAGATGAAAAAAATATCTAAAGCAGTTAGATTGTTCAATGAAAGTTGGAGGTATTCCTCTTAATCGCCTTTCAACTCCTCTTTTTTTTCTTCCTTCAACAGTCAAACAAGCTTTGATGTTTTTAGTCCCGCTTCTCTCAGTATTGATTTGTTAGATTTCTATAAAGTTATGAAATTTTTCCATTATATTAATTTGCAACCCCTAATGTGTATAATTTTTTGACAGGGATTCTAATATTATATTTTAAGGCCGGTCATTACGAGGCACCCTGATGCAAAAGGGAAATAAAAACAACTTGAAGAAGTTAAATGTAATGTTGCAAAAAATGCCAGATAACAATGTCGTGATCCTTTTTTAAAACTGATAATAACAAAGTGTGAATGTAGCAAACACAACAAAAATTTTCAAATCCCCCCTGTTTTCTATTATTATTTATTTTAATTACATTTTTTTACCGTAATAACATTGAAATAAAATAATTTTCGTGTATAGTGAACGACTTTGAACTACGAGCATATAATAGTTTGTTTTTTATTAAAAAAAATATAAGAATTATAGTCCCAGTTTTGTAATTATAAATGGGAAACAGGCAGTGATACATGGCAGGCATATAAATTTGCATTATATTCAACACAGAAATAAATTTAGGAACAATATAGCAGAAGTTAAACTATTTAAATTAAATCGATATTTAAGTGCTTAAAAAAATGTGCATACTTACATTAACGTTAGATCCTTTTTTTTAAAAAAAATCAGCTAATCATTTTATAGAAGTAAAGTAGCCAAATGATTTAAAAGAATTTTTATTAATTTAGTTCAAAAATAATAAAAGAAAACGATAATTTCATCATTTTAATTGGGTTCTTGCAACTCGAGAAGAAGTATACGTGATTAGGCCCAATCACGTGATTTAAATCAGATTTAATTGGATACCTGTAAGTGACGTCACGAGTGTGTGTCGAACCTGATTGGCTTCTGAATCGAGTACTGGCAAGTTTTACTGACGATGACGTCGCTCGCAGGTATCCAATTAGCAGACAACATGGTGCTCTATTTACGTTAGTTCTAGAAGAGTAGCTTTGAAAAAAAAATTGTTTTTCAACCTCTTGCGCTATTTATTTTATTCCAATGAATACTATTAGTCCTAAACTTCTTTTTAACATTACATTTATATAACTTTATATTACAATTTATATAGTTTAAAATAACTTTAGTGCGATACAAACTGTTTTACCCACATTATTATTCCTTCCGCATTATTTTACGTATACAGCAGAAAAGTTAGATTATCTTACATTTTGTAAAGACATGATATACTTCACATCATCAGACTAACTCTTAAAATTTTTTTACAGGTCTGAGTCGTATGGAGCCTGGGTAACAAAGTACAACAACGCACAAAAACAGTCGTTTAGCTGGAAAAGTTCCAATGACGACAAAAATTCAAAAGAGAAGAAAAGCAATGGTCCGTGGGGACCCGTTTTTAAGGACAAAAAGAACTTTGTCGATATGCACTTTTGTTAATATTTTTTATAAACGCAACAGATCTTTTAGAATATAGTCATGTTAGATTTTAGAATTTTTATTGAATAAATTATTTTAATAAATTGTAATGGCTGTCGATTTAATAAAATAGCAAAAGGGAAATAAAGACAATTTGAAGAAATAGAAAGAATTATGTTGAACTAAAGCTTGATTCACCCACTCATAATAGATAACAAAAATAATTATTTAGAGATACCCATAGGGCATCGGCTCTATTACTCTTTCAACAACAATATTAAACAAAATCTATAACTTATTTACTGTTATGCACTCCCAAACACGGGTTAATATTCGTATTAGAACTAGATCTGAAATTTTATTGATCTAAATTTGATTGAAATTGATCAATCTATTAAGTTACGGACAATCTAAGTTTTGTTATAAATCATGCTATTTAAAATTAAATTGAGAATATTCTAAAAGCTTCAACCCTTTGAAGCAGATGGGACACCGGTGTCCTTTTTATATATCCTGACACTTAGTGTCAGGATATATAAAAGGGACACCGGTGTTACTAAAGTGTCAGGATATTATTATTTTCCTGACACTTTAGTTGCGAACAAAAACATATTCAGGTATTTTTAATAATAAAAAAGTCTAATAGTTACTAAATAAAATCTGCTAGATTATCTGAATCATATTTCTACTGAAATTTAAATCCATAAAATGTAGTTTGAAAATAAATTTTTTTTTTGTTTATTTTCATTCAAAATTTATCAATAGTTGATTTTGTAAATTAAAGAAATTTCACTGATGAATAAGCGTTTCTCTTAAATCTGAATAACTACAAATAGGTAAAAATTTGAAAAATTATTCATTTGAAAGTAAGTCGTGCTTGGAAGATTTTACCTTTAACGCAGAAAAAGACACTGGTGTTTCGTGCCATATTTTATAACTATAAATTATTAAAATGCTAAATATAATGTTTTTCAATTATTTTGACTGAAATTAATACGAAATAATAAAAAAAAGTGTTAAAATATGTTTAATAAGAATTCTGTGTCAAAGATTTATATTTAATTTTTATGCAAGTCATTTTTATTTTATCTTCCGCTGCCGTATATAGCTGCCGTTGCCATACTATTCAAAATGTACTTTTTAGTCAAAATTTTCAAGAAAAAAATTTTTTTTTTGATAATTCATGAAGGAAGAAGAAAAAACAATTTTTAAAGAAAAAATTTTATTACACTTGAACACAATTTGGAAAGTATTATTTTGAATTATAACTCTCCAAATCATATGGAGTTAAAGCGAACGGATACGATATTAAGATCATTATGTTTCATTGCTGTGGTGGCAAAAAACAGACCTTTCACTGGAACGGCAAAAAAAAAAAAAAAAGTTTTAGTTAAAAGCAGAAACACGACAGCAAATGGTTAAACAACCAGTTTATTTCAACAGTCAGAGAAAACCACACAAATCAGACAAGCTAGGAGAAAAAATTCACTTATTTGAATTTATAGCTCCGCATTATGTCAAAATGGAGTTGAACCACTATTCAAATAAGACCTTCATATAAAAATCTTGCAGGCTTTATTTTTACTGAAATATCTATTTGGGCATCAGGAAAGTCTCTAATTATTGAAAGTAATCTGATTTACGACCCTAAAGAACTGATTAAGATCGCATTGTGAAAGTAATATATTACTGTTAGGATAATTAGTAGGAATGGGAAGATGTCAGAATTTACTGACACACCCATATCCCTGCTGTGATAGGGTATTTGCGTTTTTATTAATAGAAATGCTACAAACACCATTGAAAACTTTAAATACTATATAATTTTTAAAACGTTTGAAGAAAAAATATTAATAAGTTTTTCCTTATTCCAACACTAATTTATCCACTTAACAAAATCAAAATTATATCCATCTTTTATGCCTCGACAATTGGTAATTAGAAAGTGTCCGACTTAAATTTGAACTAATCGTGAATTAACTAGCGAAATAGAAACGGATATCGAATTTCTGCCATTTTATAAACTTTTACCTCAAAACTTTCATTTTCCCTTTAAAAAATTTTTTTTAAATAATACTATAGAACACAACTTTAATAAATGGAGTATTTTTGAAACAGTTTTAAAAAATTTACTTTCAAATTATACTTATCAGTTTACCAACTGAAAATATTGTATTGTTTGCCAACTGTAGAATTCTAAAGCAATAGTTAATATACTATGCGAAATTTCAAAACCTATTTCAAGGACAAATCACATAAAGTGTATGTAAAGTCTACATTATTTTAACAAAATTCTTACGAAAATCAATTATTAATAATAGGAGCGTAATTAATAAAATTTAAAAAAAATGCTTTACTTTTAAATTTAAAAACTTAGCACTTTGTTAAGCTAAGCTTGTAGAGGGAGGGAATTGCACCACTAGAAATAGCAACAAAGTAGAGCTATAGATGAAATTATCCATTCCGTCTTTAAAAAAAAAAAAAAAGTGAAATTTAAAATTATTGAATATTTTACCGAATTAATTTATCGACTTGAGCCGTAGTGGCTCACGAGATAGAGCATTCGCCTTCCAATGAGGTGAACCAGGTTCGAATCCCAGCGATGACTGGTCGATACGAATTCCGTACCCGGCTCCCACTGACCACAGTGCTAACGTAAAATATCCTCAGGGTTAGACGGATCATGGGTTAGAGTCCCCCTGCCGTCAGGCTAACTGTGAAAGGTTAGTTTTTGTCTCCATGTAAACAAAATGCGGGTTAGTTCCATCAAGAAGTTCTCCAAGATAGCAAATTTAGGAGTTCCCTTGTCTTCTGGTTTGGAATCAAAATTACAAGGCTGCGGATAAGAAGATCAATGGTCATTAACCCAAAATTGTGATGGGTGTTCCATGTTCGTAATAATAAAATTTATAAACTTCAATAACATTTTCATAGAATCCAACAAAAACATTACTAGGTAAAAACAGATTTCAGATCCAGTGAATCTAATTTCTTAAATTCACGATTAGAGCTTAACATATTTTATTATAAATTACATTTTATGCTATCAATAGCAGAAATGAAATTTAAACATATTTATACTAAAAAATTGAAATTGTGCAAAGCCATTATACGAGAAGACATCACATCTGCAGCTTTTTCTTTTCTGATCAAGTTAGTGAATGATAAAAGATTTTAACTGGTAATTATTATGTTTTATCTAATCACCACGTTTAGACTTGCATATTAATTTGAAACCTCAATTCTTCAGAAGTTCATATCATTTCCCATGTTCTTTTGCAAAAATCCAATCATAGATTCAAAAACACTCAAAAGGTATAAGTATAATTTTAATGACGAGTTATTTATGCAATTATCATTTAAATAATTATCAAAGTAATTCGAGTAACATTTTTGTTCACATAAATGGTTATCTTAAAAATTTTCATAAAATCCAAGACAGAGGATAAACTTCTAACTGACCAGAGAAAATATTTCAGAATCCTACAAAATCGTATTCAACTTGAACTAGACTTCACAAATTTGTAGCTAACTAATATCATGGGATGTATTACAAAAAATTTCTTTACATAATTAAAAATAGATTAAAAAAATTTATTGTATAATTACCTCAAAAAAAGTTAAATAATTTGATAAATATTGAATTATAATTTGAAACATAAAACTCCTTGAACAGGCCAAAATAGATTTTTTTGATGAACTAACACATACATTTTAATATATATTTTTTCCAAGAGTAAAGACATTTAACTAATTTTAGTTGTCAAATTCAAAAAAGAAACAAGAGAAAAATTTATAATTTTAGTTTGCTAGAATCTTCACAAAAACATTAATTTTCTTTAATGAATGCATATTTTTTTTTCAACCCAACCTTTAGGTTACTTATGAAGATTTTGGGTTAGTTTTAAGATTTTCCTGTAAATTATGGAAGACCTAAATACTAATTAATGTTTCTAAATGTTATCAATATTACATTTAATTATAATTCCTTTTACTATAACTCATTATCTGACTATGTTCTTAACTTCTCATTTTTGAACTCAAAACCTTAAATTTGTTTTAGATTGAGACTGAAAAAAAAATTAACTTTTTCGACCCACCAAAATGAAAGTTTGAGCCTATTCTAGGAGACTCAAATATTTTTATATTTGACTAAAGTAGGTAGATACTTTATTTACTTCGCACTAGAGCTGCACAATGGGGTATTGGCGACGGTCTGGGAAACATTCCCGAGGACGATCCAAAGACATGCCATTGCAATTTTGATCCTCTGAAGAAGGGGCTCTCCTGCTTTGGTAGCCCAACGACTTGTGCGAATTCGCACAGTTTACAGTAGAACAACTTAACGAGAACCAAAACCGAGCACCCTCGGTCCCTATGCAGGCTGATCAAAGTGGTCACCCACCTGCTCACTGACCGCAACCAGATTTGACTAAAATTTTAGAAAATATGTGAGAACTTTTTATCGAACTTGAAACTTTAAAAAATAGTTTTTCGAGACACACTCTAATAAAAAACTGCAAAACTGTCAGCTAAAAAAATGACAAACGTTGACATTAATGACACTTTATTATCACAAGTTCAATAAAATTACACACTAAATATTTGGCACATCTGTAAAACGTGAAATATTCACAATATCATTTTTATGTTTGATCAAATCAATCTCCAACAGAGGATTGATGAAGGTTAATCAGACGGATATTTTTTTTTAGGTACTTTGTTCGTTTAAAATTCAACATAATGTCTATAATACAAAACAGGCTGAGTCAATCCATTAAAATCTAATCTTTCAATAGACTAAAAAATATGTCTCGTTAAAGGCGGAAGACAATTTAACTGGCAACAAGGTACTCTTTCTAAATATAAAGTTTTTGTTTCTTGAAAAATGTTTTCCGTTCAGAAAAATACAACATTGAAAAGTAAATATAATGAATCCACGTCTTGCAGAAGTAAAAGAATTAAATACTGAAAAAATCATACAACATAGTTAACACATTAAGGCAATTAAAGAGGCAGGACAAATGATTTAACTTCTAAATGTTACCAATGTAATTTTTACAAGTTGCACACTGAAGAGTTTTCCACAAGCATTTAGTTTAAATGTATATGTAAAACTGCTACCTTCAATAGAAAACTATCCTTAAGATACATTTCGTTGCTAAATTAAGGCAAATTTTAAAGTAAACGTAGCTACAGTGGACGAGTTTTGAATTGCATAGAGAAAAAAGTGTATAATCATAGGAGTCTAAAAATGTTAATTGTAATTATATAACATTTAAGGAATACTATTAATATTACTTTTAAGTATTTAAGGCAGTAAAATTTTGGAATGTAATCTGTTAGTTGGGTACCAGATTAAAATCCCTTTGCCAAAATGGCCACCAAGTATTTTAAGTATTAAGAAAAATAGTATTAACTAAATTTAGTTCATTGTTTTTAACCTGTTAGTAACAAACATTTTATTCTGATTTTCAGATTTTTATTTCAAGATGTTTTTTCTTTACGCTTCCTTTAATTTGATAACAAAACTTAATTTTTTTTCTCTAGTGACCAGATAATGAAAAAGTACAAATGATTTAAATTATATTTAAAAAAAAAAAGGTTTCATTCTGATGACAAATTGTGAATTTTTTTTTAAAATTTAAATTAAACTTAAATAATTTAAATTTTATTATCAAGATTAGATACACATTTTGTTGAACTACTTGATTTAAAATTATGAGTAATATTATAAAGATATATTTTGATATATTTCTTTTGAAAACTTATAGAAATAGGTTTAAGGAATTATTTAGGAACTAATTGTTAGTTGAAATAACATGTTCAAGTTAGTTAGTTAATAGAAAAGTGATTTTTTCTTTTAATAAATAGAAAAAGATGAAAGAAAAAGGAAATTATTTATAATAACTTTTCCTAATATTACCAAGTATAACTTAAGCAAAATCTCAATTAAATTATAAATACTACAGATAAAGTATTAGTATTATAATTTAATACGTTATATAATTGAATTAACTTCCACAAATAGAAAAAAATATTGTGGTTAAGCCATGGCTGTATATCGTGAATTATTGACGTTCTAGTAACGATTATAAAATAAATTAGAATATGTTCATAAAAAGTATGGAAGTTACAGTTATTGTCATGAAAATAATACTAAATACAATAATGTCACTAGTATTATCAATAAGGATAATCATTGGATATGATAATATTGCAATCATCATCAATAATTAAAATTGATTATTATCCATAAATTTAATAATCGATTACAATATTATTGTGAGTGGAAGGAAATGTTATTTGGGAAACAAAAATTAGATATGCAACGCGATACATCAATATTTTGACATATTCTAGATGATATGACATATATATGTCTATATGACATGATAATGCCATCCATCACTAAAACAGAATGAGAGGAAAAAGTTTAAAATTCATATGAATGCACAAAGTCTTGGAAAGGAGTACAAAGACTAGAGAAATTTAAAAAACTACAAAACTATGACATTTAGGAGTTAAATCATTTAAGTAAATTCTGCCACTAACATCACAGCATATAAACCCACTAAAAACAAAATCAATAAATTAAAACATTGTTTTGACATGTTAAATACATCATTTATGTACAAGACGATACAAATATTGACACAGAAAACTAGATTCTAGCAAAAAAATATTCCATTGATGAAATGTGAAATATAGCAATTTACATAGGAGGATGAACACTTACAATGAAATCTATGGGATTTGCAATGGATGACAGATAAATCCTTAGTACAAGAATACTGAACAATATGGCAAAATATCTATAAATCTTGCCACTTTTTACAATTCAAAATATTTTTTTATTGCAAAATACATTCAACTCTTCATGTTTGCTATATGAACATTTAAAAACTGCATAAAGCCAAAGAAAAACTATAGACCATATTTCGTTCTTAGTATTTCGTTCAAACGGGACACGGAAGCATTCATTGTGCATCAGATGTGCACGGTTTTGCGATATGGATATTGTGCATATGCATGTGCTAATATAGTAGAACATTCAGACATTGAAGATATATGTATTGTACCACAGAAATAGAGCTGTCCAATGGAATTATTAAAAATATCACACTTTTCCTGTGCATTGAAGATTTTAATTTAGTAAGAATTCAGCAAATTTAAATCACAAATGAATTATCAAAAAACAAGCAATAGCTACCATTACTTAAATTATTGCATGATGCAAACAAGATTAGAATTTGAACAATGTGCTCAACAAATATGAATTTATCACATACCTTAAACAGCTTTTAGCAGTAACTACAAATTCAGGCACCGGAAATCATTATAAGCGTACAATGTGCAACAGATTTGTTTAAATACTTTAAAATTGAACTATAAAAAGCACCAATTAATTTAACACCTTTGACAATTTAATTAACAGATTAAAAGAAGCAAGGTCATAGTAATATAGCAGTTTTTAAAAGAATTAAAATTTGAAATGTAACAACGTTTTTATTTAACTACTTAATATATTATAAGGAAACAACATCAACATATACAAACAAAAGCTGAAGAAAAAATTTACAATCTTCAATATTCACACTGCTTTCAGCAATCTGTACAAAAGGCACTCACGTAGATCCTAGATTTATTTGTAATTAAAGTGGCGAGTTTGACCATTGGAGGTTGGGTGCACCATATAATTCTGATGAGGGTTAAACTGAGGCCTGAGAAACATAAATACAACAATAAATAACATGATTTGCTATTACAAAGAGACATAGGAACACAACATTACATAACAATATCAAAAATGGTAAAATTTGTGATTAACCCATAGATTATTACAGTAAATGGCAAGATTCGTTTCTCATATAAAAAAATGATATAATCTCAGTGGTCGGAAAACTAGATTTTCTTTATAGTTAACTACAACTACTTTTTAAAAATTTAGTTGTAGTTGTAATGTAGTTTGTAAATATAAACTACTTTCAAAATGTAGTCGCTACTTTGCTACTTCTAAACGACAAACTTAACTGGAGAACTTAATTTTCACCGAAATTCAAAATGATTTTGAAAAATAATTGGCTTGGTTAAATATGAGGAGATATTCAGAAGTTTTAATTCATGTTTACATGAAATAGTTTTTTTATTTTTTTATTCTAAAGGACTTTTTACGCATTTGCTTCTTTAACTTTCAAAACTCAATGCTTTTCCCAACAGTGATTTAAGAAATGCTAGGAAATATCAAATATTTGTGATTTAAGTGGTCAATGCTTTTTTATATCCCTCAAGAAATAAAGTACCGTGTGAATAACCAAAAAAAAAAATGGACCACTCTGAATGCCTTTTGATCTAATGATCGAATCTTTACATTCCAGGATTCAAATCTTAATGGTTCGAGGAGGTGACCGTACATATGTTAATTAATGTAGACGATATTTTAAGTTACGAAATCACACACATAAACGTACTTTATAGTTCCAGTGAAATCGAATTTTAAAATAGTCAAATATTTAAAATTCGGTTTCACAGGAACAACTCTACCGATTTTGCAAAATTTTTTCCAAGAATCAGACGTAGATTTTATTAATGCTTCCATAAAGGCATTCTCACTGCGTACTTCGACACCCCCATAAAGAATTTGCACTAATCAAAATTTCGCAAAATTTTCAAAGATTTCGCAAAATTTTTTCCAAGAATCAGACGTAGATTTTATTAACGCTTCCACAAAGGCATTCTCATTGCGTACTTCGACACCCCCATAAAGAATTTGCACTAATCAGAATCTATACATTGTTTTGCATTTGATCTTTGTTTTTTTATTTAACTAACATTAAAAGTAGTTGCCAGGAATCACTACAAACTACTGTTTTTTTCGCATCGTACTACTTACTACACTACTTCTTCCAAAAAGTAGCACACTATACTTAGAATTATCGAAAAAAGAAGCGACGACAGTAGTTTCAATACTTTTGATCATTGTATATTCTAATATCTATGATATTAAAATACAACAGCAAATAACAAGATTTGTAATTACTCATATAAAATATTAGTTAAATAAAAGTTAATATTACATCAGTAGAGCTAATGAGATTCATCATTACTTAAAACAATTGTTGTTAGAACACAACAATGAACCTAATAGAATGATTTCTTTTACTTGTAACAAATGATATTCATTTAATTGTTGCTATAACTTAAAAAACCTAAAATTTATTCAAAATATTTCAATTGCAAACAAACTAACTTTTTCATTAGCGTTTAAAGTTTTATATATATAAATATAAATATATTGGTCTAAACTGTGTCTACTGCCAGTTTTTTTTTTAATTTAAAGTTTTTGAAAAAATTATTACATTTGAATTTTCCATAAAAGAAATAATAAAAATTTAAAAACTACAGCAGATGGACTACAGTTTCCACTAGTTTAGTTAAAATTAGATTATTTGAAACATGTTTGCTTAAAGATAAAAAAAATTTTGAAAATTAAATACAAATTTTGAGACTGAAGATCAAAAATGTCTAAATTAAATTTCTGAGGGAGTAAATAAAATCACTAATTAATTAAAGATCTATTACAATTATTAGCATACAAATAATAATTTATGAATTACAGCAAAATAATTTTAATTAATTATTATTAATCAAAACCTTTACTTACATCCAACTCATTGCTCCTGGGTTTGTGTATGAAAAAGGCTTAGTTCTACTCATACTGTGGAATGAATGTTAAGAGATGTTAAGATGGAAAGCAAATGTTAAGCAAGATCATACAAAGTTATTGGTTAATAATATGAACAATAATTGGTTAATAATATGAAATAATGGTTAATAATATGAACATGCAAAACATAAAACAATAATAACGTTAAAAAAAACAACAAAAAGGTATAGAGTTAGTGACTTGATTTAAAAAAACACATTTTTGCTAAAATTAAAAAATGATGTTAAAACATCTCTCCAAATTTTAAAAGTAAGTAACTGCATAGAAATGTTGTGAGTCAAGAAACAGTATATGATTAAATCATCACTGGTTGCTTCGCAACATTGAATATAACTAGATCAAATTTGATTTCTTTTTTAAATGTGTTAGATTAGGTGCGGTTCGAGATTTCAAAGTTTATGACTAAATTAAATTAAATATTGATTTAATCCTAATACATAGCTGAGAATTTTTATATTTTCTCGATGAGTATATTTGTGATGGAAGTGATAAAACAATTTATTTGACAATTAAATTAAAGAATTTTAACTATTCAAATTATTTAGATGTAGTATACAAAATATTTATAAATCAACTTTGTTAAACAAATATAAAAATACTAAGGTATACATTTCGTAACTTTACTAGAAATATAATCTCCTGTGAAAGCTAGGAGATTGGGCAGCTATATTAAGTTATTTCATATTATGCAATTCGATTGTTTGAAGTCCTTCATAAGAGCATCATCTAGTTTTTGGGAACATAGAAAAGTTTATTTTTTGGTTGCCTAAATGTAAAGAAATATGTTTATCAAATGTGAGAAAAATTATTTAAGAAAGTTAAATAAACAATGATGACACTCGAAAATCCCTATCAGATTTTTAAATTTTCTTAAGGATCAAAAATTTTGCAAGCTTTTAAAGACTGTAAAAAGTTAATTTTTGATTATGAAAATGCATTGATTATTAAAGATTTCATAAATAACAAAATTTTTAAATCAAATAATTTCATTTATTTATTTATTTATTTTTTTCAAAAAAAGAACTAACTCACTTTTAAAAACTCGTTTTTCCTAACCTCAAATGTCACAGAATTTAAGGAGAGTGTTTAAAAATAAGGAATAATTTTCTTCAATAATTTAAACTTAACATACATAGCATACAATTATCAATCAAATCAACATGCAATTAAATTATATAACATAAATTATTATACTAGTTTTAGAATTTAAATGAGGAAAATTAAAACACGATAACAATTGGATAAATACAAGAATGTACAAATTACTCTTGTCATAAAACAAAATTGCAAAGCCATGCAAAAATAAATGGAAAGATCAAATTTATAGAATTTTTTGTCTAAAAGTTAAAACTGTACAAGCAGGTAATGCTTATCAAACATATTTGAAATCATATAATATCTAAGCACATCAAAGATATTATAATTTAAAATTAAATTTCGAATAACATGCTTAAAAAAATTTGAAATGCTGTTTAATGAATTTTTCTACTAATTTTATCAATTATCGTTTCAATTATAGTACTTAAATTTAATTAAAAAAATCCCAAATTTATTATAATAAGAAATAAGATTATTTATTAATCTTACATAAAATAGAGTTTTATATTTTATTTAAAGCAAACTCCAAAAAAACTTTTTCTTAGATTATTAAAAAAACATATATTAATGAATTGTAATTAGATAAAATTTTATTTTTTTAATATGTAAACATTAAATGTCCTAATGATTATAATTTCATATAAAAATACATACATCACACTTTAACTCAAGTAGTATGGTGTAGAATAAAATACCAAAAAATTATACTTAATGAGTAGTTTTGCCTATATATCATAAAGCATACTAATCGTAAACTGAAAAAAATAATCGTGATACCAGATGATCAAGTGTTGTATAAATCATTGTATGAAAATATAATAAATGTTGAGAAAACAAGAAATAGATGGTATTGTACTTAAAGTCCAACTTAACACTTATTAAATTCAGAGTATTTGCTTTCTAAACTAAAAAAAACAAACAAACAAATACATAAAAAAGAAACATATACAGACATGTGATTCCTGGAAGTAGAAATTAGCTGAATTTTTTTTTCTTCTCAATACCTAGTTTTCTTTTTTTTAGTACTTAATTTTTTTTCTATTGTACATAGATATTTAAAAAACTCATTTTTATGCACAAAAGTAACATGTACAAAATTTAAAGGAAGAAAGAAAAAATTTTTTGTCAAATAATAAGATTAACCCCTTAACAATGTACTTCAGAAAAATTGACCAAAAATGGAAAATTTTTTTGACTCTTTAATTTTGTTCTTCATATTATTATAAAAGTTAGAAAATGGTTTTTTATTACAAAAATAAAATTTTAAATGCAATAACTACTGTATTTATAATTTTTAAATACACANAATTAAAAAAATCCCAAATTTATTATAATAAGAAATAAAATTATTTATTAATCTTACATAAAATAGAGTTTTATATTTTATTTAAAGCAAACTCAAAAAAAAACTTTTTCTTAGATTATTAAAAAAAACGTATATTAATGAATTGTAGTTAGATAAAATTTTATTTTTTTAATATGTAAACATTAAATGTCCTAATGATTATAATTTCGCATAAAAATACATACATCACACTTTAACTCAAGTAGTATGGTGTAAAATAAAATTCCAAAAAATTATACTTAATGAGTAGTTTTGCCTAAATATCATAAAGTATACTAATCGTAAACTGAAAAAAATAATCGTGATAGCAGATGATCAAGTCTTGTATAAATCATTGTATGCAAATATAATAAATTTTGAGAAAACAAGAAATAGATGGTATTGTACTTAAAGTCTAACTTAACACTTATTAAATTCAGAATATTTGCTTTCTAAACTAAAAAAAACAAATAAAAAATATAGAAAAAAACATATACAGACATGTGATTCCTGGAAGCAGAAATTAGCTGAATTTTTTTTTCTCAATATCAAGTTTTCCTTTCTTTTAGTATTTAATTTTTTTGCTTCTTGAACATAGATATTTAAAAAACTCATTTTTATGCATGAAATTGAAAGGAAGAAAGAAATTGCTTTTTTTTTTGTCCAATAATAAAAATATACTTCAGAAAAATGGACCAAAAATGAAACATTTTTCTGACTGTTTAATTTTGTTCTTTATATTATTATAAAAGTTAGAAAATGGTTTTTTGTTACAAAAAAAAAATTTAAATTCAATAACTACTGTATTTATAATTTTCACAGACATAAAAAAGTAATGGATTACACACATCTTATTCAATTAGAACAAATTAAACAATATTTTGTGGTTAAATATAATATAACTAGTATAATATAAAAACACAACAATATGATTTTCAATACATAAATTTTACAAATCTTTTACAGTAGGGTATATCCCAAAACCCTCACTCACATTTCCCCCCCTCGACTGAGTCGTAATCAGTGAAAAACTAGGACCACTAATGCCATCTATTAGGAAAATAGTGAATTAAGTATCCTAAGCTAGGGGAGAACAAAATAGAAACGTTAATTTTTCTCCTGCCCTAAGTCAGTTCGGCATCACGAATACTACACATAGTAGTGGCCCTAACTAGATTCGGACGACGCTGACAAGGGGCTAAAATACAAATTTATTGAGTGCTTTAACTAAAATAAGATACTCTAGATTTTCATATCGTAATATATCAAAAATTAATTCAATCTAATTTTAACCAAATAAAAAAGGAACCAAATATATCGTTAAGCTGAGTAAACAATTCTTCTGTTACAAATGGTAATCTTCAACAAAATTGCCACTAATTAAAATAGAAAAACTAGAAAACTCCATTTTTCCTACCGAACAATTTTTTAAATGTTTGTCATTTCGGAATTGCTTTTAATTTTATCAATTTTACAGTTTTGTGACTGCCTCAGTAGTTCTTTAATTATGGTCAAAGTCATTATAAAATTTCTTTTTCCCAAGGTTTATCCAAAGTTGCGTTTTTCTCTAACAAATCTGCATAAAAAAAAAGTATTTATTGTGGGTGAATGAGAACTTAAAAAAAAAAAGGTGCTGGTAAGTGTGAAAAAAAAGCCTCGTTAACGTGATTTTGCGTAAGCAACAATTAAGTTTTAGATTAGTGGAACTTCGAGAAAATGTTGTTGGAACATTAGCTATTGATTCCCAGAAGACTACAAATCAACAGTCTTGATGTTCAAAGAATTCTGTGAATTGACGAAAGAATCACATGCCTGTATATGCCTCAGAATTTCGTTTTTAAATTTAACTTGAATAAGAATAAATTAGCAAAAAACAGTAATAATTCCTGTTTCTTTTTTGTTTCTTTCAATCAGTAACTCATTAACATCACAAACAAATTCATCTTTAGATTAAAATTGATGGATCAAAGATTGCTTCAGAAAATAACAGTAGAACAGAGCTTACAACAGTAAGTAATACTTACTCTTCTAAAGGAACAGCTTCTCCACAGTCAACCCTGTAAGAAAACTTTTTTAGTGTTTATTTTGAATTGTAAGTTAAAACATTTAAATGGCTTAACTCTTGAAGTATAACGTAAGAATAAAAATAAAATCTTAAATTATCCAAAATACAAAAGGTATAAAGCAATTTTGAGCGTTTAGGGTAAATGACATCTGACAATTCCCGGTTAATTTGATACGAAAATTCAATGACTTTTCCAGGTATTTTAGGAAAATTTCAATGTGAATTCAGACCATATTTTATCTACAACATGCTATTTTACAAAACTTTTGACTTTTTTTTATTCGTAATGTCAAATATTAGATTTTTTTTACATGTATATAGAAGAATATCATGAATGAAATATATCATGAATGAAGAGGGGAACGTGTAAAAGTTTCATTAAAATGTAGAATTTTTACAAGTACTTGTAATAGATGTCAGAATTAATTAAATCTAATCTCAATGATAGATTACTGTTATTGACAATTCTACGACAGGTTATTAGAGTTTTTCACCCTGTGACAGTACCAAAATTAATCTCCAGATACAAGTTGCAGAAAAATAAAATATTTATGCTTCATATTAAATGGAAAGCATACCTGTCAACATTGGAGAAATAAAATAACGGAGATTTCACTAGCAACAGTTTTTGGGCTACAAGTAAAGTTTTGATACATCATGCATAATCTTGTAAATCAAAAAGAGAAATTCAAAATTGGAAGTAATATATATGCATTTACATTTAGCGAAATAAAAAAAATGTATATGAAAAATTTAAAGTAAGAGAAGTTTTTGATGGGAACCCTCAAGTCAATAGAAAAAGATGAAGACCTAAAAATATTTGGTGCAGTGCGATTGTAAACAATTTGAAAACAATAGGGAAGACATGAAGAGAGACAGAATATATGGCCACAAATAGAGTGAGATGGAAAGCTATGAAAGAATAATATATATATATATGTATATACATATATTATATGGCACAATAAAGACAAAAAGGATAAAAAGAAAAGAGGAAAAAAAGATAAAGAAATTAAGAAAATTAATATGTTTTATTTACTGTGCATAAGCTGCAAGTGCATAGAACTCATAAAATAAGTTAAAAATATAGAGAAAACATGGAATATATATATACACACACACATGGANAGACCAGATAATTGTGCACTGAAGTTTTTAAAGTGTTGATATAAATATATATATAAAGCAGATTGCTTTAACCATTGTAAATGATATAGTTAAATGAAGATCTTATTAGAGCAGATAAGTAAGAATTTGGCATAATCATTTATAAAAGAAAAATACAAACCTGTTTGTAAAGTTAAGCAATTCAAACTGATATTAAAAACACCCTGAACCCAGAGACAGCAATTAGTGAAAACAAGAATTTTTAGAACATATTTTAACCACTTAAGTAAATGTTTCTATTTAACGAACATGTTTAATTTTTGAAAACTAGGAAGTAATTTAAGAATTTTTTTTTCTTGGACAAATTAATTAGAGGATAGCAAAAAATTAATAAAATTAAATATTGAATAAATACCACAGCTCATAAGTTATAAAAATGTAAAATTTTGTGTGATAAATTAAGATTTAATTGCTTTTTTTACAGATAAAAAAAGACAGAAAAATCAGAAAATCAGTAACTGTCTCAAAATAAATATATTTTTATTTTAAGGTTCAGATTCCAAAACATAAGGCAAATCAAACAATACCTAGAAGTTTATTAAATAAAAATAATTTTGATTAAAGGTAACAATGGGGTAAAAGAAACAGAACTATACTTACATGTATGTATCGTCATCATATTTCATGCGGATATAATGCCTTGACAACTTTACAGAAAAAAAGATTGTAGGAATGATAAAAACTAAAGCCCAGCCAAGTGCAAACCAGAATCCATTCTAAGAAGAATGATGATGAAAAATATATTAAATTTGTTCTTTTATCACATGAATATATTCAATTCATAATCATAACTTTAATTATATTTCACTTTTATGGTATTTTTGCTAAAAATGCATTCAAAGATTAAGTACTGCCAAGTACTTATATGAGTTTTAAAATATATGACTTACGTAGGCAAATGAACAAAAACTTCCCATTAGAAATGAATTTAAAATTTGGGATAAAAGTTTCAAAAAATTTATGAAATTTATACCATGATTACACATATGATTCAAACAAAAAGAAAAAAGATTTGTGAAATAATTTGTTTCAAAAAGTAACCAAAATAGTAATAGAAATTCAAGAAAATAATTTAAGAGATTTAAAAAAAAATAGACACTAATAATTCATATATCATGTGTAACAATAAGATATTAATTTAGATACTATTTTATTATAATAACATTGAAAAGGAAATTATTTTTAAACTTAAAGATTGTGATCAAAGACAGAAAAGACTTGACATACCACTGGATATATCACAAAATCACAAGCTGCAACTCTGGAAATCTCAAAAGCAAACCATAGAGGATAACATTTACCAATATTTTTGACCTAACAATTGTAAATTCATAATTAATAAAAACATAATTACTATGGATTATCTACTTAATCAAAAATATATTTCTTTTCTATTACTAATCACAATTACATACGATGAAGTAAAAACTATTTTCTTATAAAAGACTAAAGCTTAAAATGTAATTACTTAGTAAAAATTGTAATTTATGACTTCATTGTACACGTATCATAATAATATCATATTAAAAATATCGCTATTTGAAAAACCATGTGAATAAGATCATAAAAATGAGAAATAACATAAATGAACAATTGACGCGAATTAAGCACATAAAAAAGGGATTAAAAAATTTCGAAATTTGGGTGTAGAAATTTTGCATTAAAAAGTCTTGTGAAATGGCTGAAAAAATAATAAACAGCTCCCCAAAATGAGGTGGATTTATGACCTAATAGTCGTGAATTGAGTACATAAAAAAATTATCACTAAATTTAATATTCATGTGTTGTATTAACAATGTATTAAAAACATTGTAATTCTACTGACCATGTAAAAATGCAATTGAAACTAAAAATAGCTTAAATAATTGTGGAGAAAATGATCTAAAAAGGACTTGAATCAATGTTAGAATGGCCATGATTCATGCCCATCAAAAAGGGATTACTCAAATTCGAACATCGGGTCTCAATATTATCGTTAAAAATGCTGAAGTTTGAATAATCATGAGGAGATCATCGAAAAAACAATAAATAACTATCTAAAAAATTATTGGTTAACAATGAGGATTAACTATGGAATCATTTTTAATTTAGAGCAGCAAGAAGCGGTAACTAATTCGAAATTCGTGGGTCATAATAACATCCTATTAAAAATATCAGAATTTGAAAAATCATGTGGGGGAAAAAAACAAACAAATAAGCAATGAAAAATCTACATAATCAGAAGTCACTAGCAACTTTTGCTGCGGATTTTTTCTGTAATTAGCACTTTTTTTTAGCTCAACACTTTTAACTTTAAAAAAAAAAAAAAAAAAAAAAACATGCCAAAGCTTTACAGATATTTTGAATCATCTTGTAATAAATATGTACTGAGTTCATAAGAGAAATTTTACCATATCTTTGATTCCACCAGATTCTGCAGCTGCATGAAAGAGTTGCTAAAAAGAAAAAAAATACTTAAGTGTCAACATAATAGGATAAGCATATAAGCATAATAAGAATTACATACAACATAAGTGTAATAGGAATTACAATTATTCTGCAAGTCTAATATCTTGCTTGCAATGGTTCACATAAGTACATTCATCACTATAGGCATTACAGGTGTTGAAATTTTTAGGGGCACTAAGTTAACCTATGAAATAGTTCTCAATATTTCACACCTAAAAAAATATTTCCTTGATCTGCAAAATATATATATACTTTTTTAATTTCTTAGATTGTTTTTAACTTGTTAAATTTTTTATTTGCCTGAAATGTCAAAGAGTACTTTCAGAGATTTCTAATAACTGAGGGGGACACGCCAATGTCTATGCTTATCACAGTACTACAGCAAAACAAGAGAATGATATTTTGCCGGTTAGTGCAAACTGGGAAAAAACTTTTTTTGCACAAACCAGTTTTATTAAACAATAATAGAGAGAAGAATAAATTTTATTTAAATAATTCATGAAACAATAATATCTTCACTAAATAGAATTAAAAAAATGTTTTACTATTTAGTTATCTGAACAAAAATAAACTTTTAATAAAGGAACTTTTAATAATAATTATTTTAATAAATTACAAATAATTCAGGATATAAATTAAGGAATTAATTATGTTATATAAAGCACAGTAAAATTTATACAAATAATGATATAGAAATAAACTTTATTGCTAAAAGTAATACAATAAGAAAAAAGTTATTTCATCATATATTATTGTTATCATAAATATTAAAATTGGATGAAAAGATTATTTAAAAAAAATTTAAGCAAGATAATATTTTGAAAAGTTTTCATTAAAATACATGAAAAATGTATTTAAATCACATTCTAAAAAGGCTTGTGACTATTAGTACAAAATAAAAAAAATGCTGTTAATAATAAAGCAATTAAGCAAAATCTATTATACAAAGTAAATAAGTTTTGAAGCTAAAAGACTAGTTTCAGTTTGACAGATTAACTACTTACTGCTTTAACAACATAAGGTAACTTCTCTTCAACTTGATCTAAACTGTCTTCAATTCCTTCAATTAGAGACTATAAAAATAAAATAATTTTATTACTCCTGTACATAACACAATCAATAAAATCAATTAAAAAGTAACAATACAAAATCAATTAAAAAGTAAGAATTTGGAGAAAAAAAAATTAAAATTATTCTAAACAATATATTTTAAGTTATTAAGAATCAGTAACATTATAATTAGCTGTTTTCTATGCAATAAATATACAAATTAGAAAAATCTGCATTTGATATTTGAAACACTAAACGTAATTAATGTCATTATGCACTTAACATAAAATATTTTTATTGAAAACTCTCACCTGGTAATGGTCAGCTTCATCATATATGTTTAACAAAGTAGAGGAAAAGTTGTTCTGTCAAAAATAAATAAAATACATAAATGATGTGTATAAAATAATAGAGAAGTTTATCTTAATATAAGCATAAGAATATAATGGATTCTTAAAAAGCTCAAATAGCATGAAATTTATTTAACACTTAGCATTAGATTTGTCTTTCTCCACATCATTCGGAAAAAAAACTAGTATATAGCAGGGAAACTTCGTATAAAGCAGTAACAGTTTCAAAATTAAGTTTATTATTTATATAAAACAATTTTATCAAACTTTATTACATCACTTTCAGAGTTTTAAAGCCCTGATACAGATTTCATATCCAGCATGCTTATCAGACAAGCTGTTTATATACCTGATAAATGAATGTTAGGTATTTCTTTAATTCAACAATCTATTTGAATTACAAAATATGCTAAACGTTTTTTGCAAAGATTTGCTCATACTAAATTCCCATATGGCTTTTAGCAAAATTTTTAGCTACATGCATGGTTTACTTAAAAATAAACGAATAAACTCAGAAACATAAGAGAATTTAGTAAAAATTTTGAAAATAATTAGAAATCTCAAGGATTTTTTGTTTCATGTTATTAGTAATAATTTTAAAAACAAAAGATACAAACAAAAAACAAAAGAAGATAGATTGGTAAATTACTAAATCCTATAATTTTTTCTGCTTAAAATTATATAATAGAAAAATTTATATATTTAAAATAACAACAACTATCTAAACAGAGCAATTTTGTTCAAAGAATGATCTTGTTTAAAGTATAGCTGGTTTCCTGCTTACTTTCTATTCCTGCATATATTACTTAAGATCATTTTAATAAGTTCCTTCAGAATAAAAAAGATTTTATCAATGACATTTATAAATTCATGTTAATTAATTTTAATGTAAAATACTTCATTCTCTGTAAACCAAAATAAATAATTTTCAATAAAGTTTGGCATGCTAATTTTTATATTAACATTAATATATTATATTTTTATGAAAGTTGCTACCAAATTCCCATTATTAAGATAAAATGAAATAACATAGTATATTACAATTTATAATTAAATAATAAATTAATAATGCAATTGAAATAAATCAACATTTTAGACTACTGAGCCTAACTGTTTTAGATAAAGAGATCAAAATATTTCATCCTGATTGTGTAAAAAGAATTGTCAAGCCCAGTGGCAAAAACATTGTGATATTTAATTGTGCTTTATTCTGGTGTATGGGATTTTTTACGACTCGCACAGATTTATTTTATCTAAATTTAGGCGTGGGTTTAACTCGTTCATTGCCAGCCGAGTGCAGGTGGTTACACTATGTAATCTATAAAGACAAAATCATAGTCAAATTTTCTTATTTTAGCAACTATTTTAGTTTTTAGATTTTATAATAAATGTATTTTAACAAGCAATATGTTATTGTCATGTGAAAACATATTTTCTGCAAAAATTGCAGGACAATAATATAGAAGTAGCAACCGGTTAATATGTTTTATTGACACAATTCGTAAGGAACTGTTTCGCCAAGTGATATTGTGTGATCTGGCAACTTCCACCTATCAACTGTATTTTTTATGCATATATAATATGTCTTGTTGCTTGCATTATCTGAACTTAATATAATTCTAATTAGTTGTGCGACGTATCTAACTGAAATTACTGTAAGCGAACAGAACTATTTGATCGGGAAAAATTCATATTGATGTAACTTTTAGGATTGAGGGGAATCTATGTTTTTCTTGGGGATAAAAAAAATTTTCGCCAATAGTTTAATTTAAATGCAATTTGTTTCACGCCGAATTTACGATTTTATAGCATTTGGTGAAATGGCGATGGCTTAGCACAGACCCTGTTTACTATATAATTGCTTAAAGGTAAATAATAATTTTTAAAAAATCATGAGAAATATAACAAACCAGTTTCCTTTCAAAATCATGAACTTCATCATAAAGCATCTCTGCTGAACTGTTGACTAGTAACAGATTTCTATCGAGATCTTCCCCACCTTCCTCTTCCAAAGCAGTTCTTACTTTATGCACAAAGTCATTTATTCTAAACTTAGATGTTCTCAAAAACTCTTGGAGCTAAACATAAAAAAAGGTAAAATATTCATATACTTATATATTTGTTGGAAAAGAAATTATAATAAATAATGCAAAGAAATATCCGCATATAGTTGAATGCATAGAAATACACTTTATATAAACACAACAGCCTGGAAAATCTTTTAAAGTGGAAACTAAATTGAGATATATAGATGTTTTAAGATAGCAACAAATATTTAATTTAAAGGAAATATATATAGATGTAAAAAATAACTCTGGAATAATTTTGTAATTTGCAAGTGAAAGATAAATTTAAACTTTCTTCAGTAGTTTTAAAGAACCTTGGCTACCACTCATTTATTTTTTCCAGATAATATGTTCAAAATATTCCTTAAAATATGCTCAATTACATTTATTGTGGGAAAAAAACATATTTAAGAAACAAACCTTTTCTGGTATCTCCTTCAATTCACCAAGACTTAAAGCAGTTGTAAATTGATGGAGTTTCTCTCGTATTCCTGAAGTTATTTCTAACAGAGCCGATTTCAATTTATCATTTATTGCTTCACTATCTGCTTCATTCATCAGATCAACTTGCGTCAGAAGTTTCTAAAGGAAAATTAAAAAAACATTATAAGTTAATAATGTTAATGTTAAGTTAATAAGGGTAATAAAGTTCGAAATAAACTGCGTGGAATACCAAAAGCTGCTTATCATATAATATTTTGTTGTCTAACTACATATGAAAAAACCTATTCTAAAAAAAATAACTTTATTTTCTACAATTAGAAAGAGAAATATATTTATTAATGGAAAATAAAGAAAAACATTAATTTGCAAAAAAGGGATATGAAATAAAAAAAAAATAAAGAATATGTTTGAAAAAAGAAACATTTAGACTAATTTGTGAACAGGAAATTTATGATCAATATTTTTATTTTTGTTTAAATGCTGCTTCATGAAATGAAAGTCATCTATATAATAAAAAATGCATCAAAACTTTAAATAAGTGAATCAATTTATTACTAATAGATAAATAGGTCGAATTAACATGAAATAATTGATTAATTAAAAAAAGCTTAATGAACTAAGATTAAATTACTAAAAAGAAACTAAAACTTTTAATATGAAAAACTTTTTTGGAAAAACTGGCCAGAGAAACCTCAATTTACACGACATATAACTGTACAAAAATTAATTAAAAAGTTACTCATAATAAGCCATATCGAATAATCCAATATGCCAGCATCTGACCTCAATCTTTATCAATTTATGGATTTAAAGTTGATAAATTTTTATAGATTTTCAAAAGAGTAGGATCGAAATTTTTATCAATGGGGTTATTTCTTAAAGATATTTAGACCAGAAATTTTTTAACATTCTTTATTTTGCAAAATTTTTAGAAAATTTTTTATACTTATTAAAATAATTATTAACATATTCAGAAAAGTGATTTTAAAATATTTAGAAACAAGAAGGATATTAATAAAAAGAGGGGATAACATGATCCAAGGAAGAACCTTTTACTTGTACAATGGAAATTAAAATTAAATTGATAAAAATCTTAACTATAGGAAACACACGCAACAAGCTTCATCCATGTGAATAATATAAGCATGGCAATTTTTAAAATTAAGAATATATATTGCAAAATAATATGATGTTTATTTTTAATAAATTAAAAATGCCAATTACTTCTTGTTTTTCATAAAAATAATAAGGAAATAAAATTTTAAAAACTCCCTTTATGAACAAAATATTTAATAATATTTTTTCAGCATTTAGGACTTTAATCTCTTCATGATCATGCAAGTCAAAAATAAATCCATTCTTTCAGACTTCATTAAAACAAAAATTACTTTCTTTAAATATAATAGGGATAAATTAAGTAAAAAAAAGTGAAACTTAGTTTCATTGCTATGTTTGCCCATTTTAAAATTTCAAATATATAACACTTGTGAAAAACAGTCTTACATAGATGAAAATGTTAAATATAGTATAGTCACTCTGCAACGAAGTTTCGCTACAGAAATTTTTCTCAGTATAACAAAATATTTTTCATTTAACAAAGAAAATTTCTGCCTATAACAATTTCTCCAGACACTTTTCTTTTAATTATTATTCCCTTTTTTACCAACGTTGTAATTGGAAGTTCGAATTTTACTGCAACTATTTTACTCTTACACTTGTCAGTCTCTGGAACTATTTACTTCAACTATAATGCATAACAATAGAATTGTATTTAAAGGAAAATTAAACATTTCAAAAGCTTCCACATGTACAGTGGGAAAAAAATAGTCCACTTTGAATAACTTTTGATCTAATAATTGGATCTTCTAGCACTCAATCTTAATGGCTCGGAGGGGTGATCTCAAATATGCTATGTATCGGGTTGTTCGGAAAGTAATTTCGTTTTTCGGACAGAGGATTTAATTGTATTTTTTCGAAACCAACTTCATACTTAGGCCGCATTATCATGATATGTTTTGAAAACTGATGTAGCAAGGCTTTTGTGTGAAAAAGTTCAATTAATTCTACACAGTAGTTTTTGGTTGGTGCGCCCTTTTAAATATGGAGGGCAATGAACAGCATTTTTGTCATATTTTACTTCCTCACTTTAGAAAAGGTAAAAATGTTGCCAGAAAGTAATTTAACGATGTGCATGAATAAGATGTGTTTGCGGTAGGCCAGTGACAGAATTGGTTTGCAAAATTTTGATCCGCCGATTTTTATGTCGAAGATGCACCACGTTCTGGAAGGCCCGCTGAACCTCATAAAGACACTATAAAGGCATTAGTTGATGCAAATCGGCGAATAACAACACGCGAGATCGAAGAGAGGTTAAATTTATCGAATTCAACTGTTTATGATCACTTGAAAGGCCTGTGTTTAACCTCGATGTATGGGTTCCCCATGTTCTCACGGAGAGAAATTTTTGTTGTCGCGTCGACGTCTGTGATTCACTTCTCAAACGTCACGAAAATGATCCATTTTTGAAGCGCATCATTACTGGGGACGAAAAATGGGTTGTCTATAACAATGTCAAACGCAAGAGATTGTGAAGCAAAAAATATTAAACTTAAAGCATTTCGAAAGCCAATATCCATCAAAAAAGGTGATGCTGCCTGTTTGATGGGATACTAAGGGAATATTTTTTTGTGAACATTTACCGGATAACACAACACTTAATTCAGAAGTCTACTGTTGTCAGCTGGACAAACTGAATGATGCTCTTCAACAGAAAAGACCTGAATTAATCAACAGAAAAGGAATAGTGTTCTACCAAGATAATGTGAGAGTTCATACAAGTTTAGTCACTGGCCAAAAGCTTTTACAGCTTGAATGGGATACACTGCCACACCCACCATATTCACCAGATCTGGTGTTTTCAGATTATTATTTGTTCTGGTCACTACAAAATTTTTTGGACTGCAAAACCTTTACTTCAAATGAAGAGGTCAAAAATCACCTGGATCAGTTTTTTGGCAGCAGAGACCAAAAATTTCATGAGCGTGGAATCATGCTACTACCAGAAAGATGGCAAAAGGTGTTGGACCAGAATGGGCAATAAATAATTCAATAAAATATTTATTCATTATACCAAAATTGTCTTTCATTTCCCCCCCAAAAAACGAAATTACTTTCCGAACAACCCAATAATAAGAGCAGACGACATGCCCTTTTTTTCAACAGATTTGGTTTTCCAACCCCCAAAATATAGGGGGTAGCTGCAATCTGGAAAATATGGTCCCCATAATTTGGTCAAGAAAGCAATTCAAAGTTTGGACCCCTTAATGTTAATTTTACTTTTTGCATATTTCGCCATATCTCGAGAACTTTTTAAACAAACTGAAACAACATTTTTACACACAGTTATAAAATTCACTTATCCAAAAATAATTCTATGCAAAAAATAAATTTTAGTAAATATTCATTATTTTATTAAATAATAGTCGAAAGTATGTTAGTTAATGATTGATTTTTTTTGTGTGCACTGTACAATGAATATTAAAAGTTCATTCTTAAAATGCAAACATTTTGATGAAAATTTAAGCTCGCAAAATACAATCAATGAATTTTTGTTATCATTACAGACCAAAAATCATGCAATAATTATCTAAATAAATATAACAAAATGTTCTTTAAAAGTAAATTGTTCAACTAGAACTATTTCATTATAGAAAAACTCCACTGTGCATTCATATAACTACACAAACCAAATCTAAACAAATTTAATTTTAACAGATATTTTTTTGCATAATAAAAATAGTAATTACCTCATAAGACATAGAGTCATTTTGATCAAGAAATCCAATAGCATAAATTATGCTTTGGTCATGATAGCAATCGCTAAAATAAAAAGATAACAGAAATGAATTAAATTCAAGTTTTTAGAACAAAACAAAAAAATTCAAGAAAATTTAACTTCACATTTAAACTAAATATTTGTGTCAACTAACAAAATATTTACCAAAAAAATTAAATTCTTAAAGTAAATAAAATATTTAAAATTGTAATTTAAAAGTAAATAAAAATACAAGTGCTTCACATTAGAAAGACGGAGTGTCTTCCTTTTCATTTTTTCAGCAATTCCAAAATTAATTATCTGAATGAGAGAAAATAATACATGAATACACTCAAATAGGATCATGATTCTATTTAAGTGTGTATTTAATCATGATTACCTCATATGAGCACAAATATTGAATCTTATAACTAGATAGATTGCCATAGTGGCCCATTAAGTATTTTGCGATATTCAATAAAACATGTTTTAATTATTGTTAAAATATGGTTTAAGAAATATCTCCAATGTCTCAATTTATATATATAAAGGAAAAAGGAGGCTAATTGCACAGCGTTTATGTTTTTTAAAATTTTATTCTGCAGTTATATGAAGAGCTTCGATTAATATCCTAAAATTTCAATTTCATCAATTGAAAAAGTACTTGAGTTTGTTTTTAAACGCCTGAAATTATTATTTTGTAAAAAGTGGAAACAGTTAACTAAACAACAATACTAGCATTTTTGACATCATGATGTTCCTATAAATCAAAAATTTTCATTATCCTGATAGGAACAAAAAATCTCAAAGAATTCTATTAATGAGCCTCTACAATATCTACATCAAATGATTATTTAGTATTTTAGACATATAATTGCTCTTAAACAGAAAAAAATCTAGGAAAGGCCACTTAAGCCAGAATGTCTAGTTACAAAGCATTTTCAGTCTTTCTACTGATAAAAAAAATAAGAGCAAGTTAATTACACACACTGAAATATTGTGGATTAAGATTTCCAAACTAATAATAGTTATTTGGACTTTCCTTCTTCTTTAACAGCACTACAGCCTAGTGCAGCTCAAGGCTTTCTACATATACCTCTTCCAGACAGTTTGACTTGTAGCTAGATTTCTCCATGGATTCACTCCCAATACTTTTAGGTCCTTCTCCACACAGTTCAACCGCCTTAATGCTGGTCGTCCTCTTTTCCTAGTACCCTCAATCTTTAAAAATGTTAGTTTTTCAGCTGGATCAGAATCATCTCGACGAAAACATGTCCCAGCCATCTGATCCTGTATGACTTAATAACTCTCAAAACGTTTGGCTGTCCATAATGTTTAGTAGGATTTTTCTTTCAAAAGTGAGTAAACTATTTTCTTCTGCTTTATTAAGTGCCAAAGTCTTGCTTACATACAAAATAATTGATCTAATGAATGTTTTATATAAACTTACTTTATTATTCATGGAGATAAATTTAGATTTCAATTGGTTCTTCAATCCAAAGTAACATCCATTAGCCATCAAAATTTGGTTTCCAATTTCGGCTTTTAACTTTATATTGTTAAGATAAAAGAATATATAAGATAAAAGAACTCTTGCTTCCAAATTACAAAAAAGAATAAAAGCCAAGCGGTGGAAAGATGACCTCCTAAATATCCCTAATGGTCCACGCCGTGAAGTTGTGGCACAGTTTCGACTCCTAACGGGCCACGACTGTCTGGCTGAACACTTGCACCGCATCGGTATTCTAAATTCACCTGACTGTCCGCTCTGCAACTTGGCAGAGCCCATGAATAGGACCCACCTCCGCCGCTGTGCTGCATTGCATTCCGGCTCTGAATCGTCGCTTTATTGGCAAGCCAGAGAACTTTTAGGGCAATGACTTCGGTCGTTCTGTTTAGTTTATTTATTCACCTGTTTTGTCTTTGCATTTGTTTTCTGTGTTATTTCTTGTTCATGTCCTGCCATTGGAAATTAAAAAAAAAAAATTTTTAAAAACTTTATATTGTTATTAATGTGTCCAGGTACTTAAAATGGGTGACTCCACTAATGGTATAATTTTAAAGGTAAGAACTTTCAGGTATTTATATTTTTTTATTGTGCGATTTATTGCTGTTGTTTCCACATTTTTCCTCAAAAACTGTAGCTATCGATCAAAAAGAGTACTTTCCTCTTTCATCTTACTACTGTTTAGATAAATACTACTTTAGAATTGTTTTATTTCCTTAAAATTATTTCATTAAATTACACTAATCTTTCATTATACATAAAAAATAATGAAAGATATAATGATGGTACAATGTGTTCATGTATTAATTTAAAAGTGGTTTTATTCTATCCTTTTCTTATTTTGTAATAAAAACAATCAGAACATTTTAACACCATACCTACAAAAAAAATTTTGTACTTAAATTCCTCTTATTATTGAACACATAAATAAAATCAATACATTAAAGCAAATCACAAAAGTAAGACTTACTTTAAGAATTTACTTGGCTTCAGTCGCTGTAATATAGTGTTATTTTCGATAGTTGATATCTTTCGGGTTATCTAAGGAAAGATAGATATAAATAAATATTAATTGTCAAAAACACATATTAGTGAATAATATCTTATTTTTATAACTGTCATAATTTTGTCACAATTACTCATTAAGTTAGGAACTGTTCAATTTAGTCAGTTTAAATGAAAGAAATTTAGTAAATATAAAAAGTATTTGTAGGGTTCAAGCCAGTAAGATGACATGTCAAAAATTTTTGCTAAATTTTCTACAAATTAATGTCTTGAAATTTGTTTGTTAATTTACAAAATAGTAATGAAAAATAGCTTTTTTTTGCATCAAATTCCACACATTAAGAAAAAAAAAAATTTGTATAATTTTTTTTTTTGATGTGTGGAATGAAATTCAAATATGTGGTATTCAAATGGAATAACAGAAAATGTCTGGAACAAAACTTTTTAAAATTAAACGTTTAGATTTCAAATTTACATGTTGTGCTGTGTTTTGCCTTCATGTACAGGCAGTAAATTGTTCATCAATAAAATAATATTTTTTCCCTTTTAGACTTTATTTAAAATTTTATAATTTTTAGTTAATCAATTTTTAGTACAATATTTTGTTAATTCTTACTTTCTCTGTTTTCTTCATTTATTTGGTCTCAGTGTTTTAATCTTTATGTTGAATCTATTTACTAATATAATTTTACTCTTAATTTTAATAACTAGGTACTAATTTTCAATCATTATGGGCGAATGAACCTATTAGTTTTAGGTTGTTATAGAAGGCAATTAATAATTTTTGATGAGTATCATAACATGTTATTGTAATTATGTAATTGTTAAGTTCAATTTTTCTCAAGTTTGTCTACCATAGCAATTTTTTGGACCACCAAATAAATACCAAGGTGGTCCCACTGGACCACTAAATTCTCATTGCTGGTGTGAACCCTAAGCATTTGACACCTATTTTTCAATGTTCAAAAAGTACTGCAATCCAATATTTATTGGACTTGTAAAATGATGCGAAAATTGAGAATTATTCATTGATTCTAACAATTTTTATCGAAGCGAAAGAACCTCATAAAATTGGCAATTTATATTTTTAATATTTTAGCCAGGCAATTCTTTTTGGTACAATAGTAAATACAGCTTAAAATTGAAGTGTGGCTTCAAGTTTAAGGCACGCTTTTCTGTTTTTTTTCCTTTTGTGCGGAAAAAAAAGCATTGAAGAAAGAACCTTTAATATTTAATCAGAAAGTAAAAACATGCAACCCTTTTTTGGCTGAAATTTTCCATATTTATGGCACAAGAAATGTAACACATGGAATAACATCTAAGTATAAAAAATAAAAAGAATTCTAGCACATTTACTTTTAGTATATAATTTTTTAGGGACATTTCATTTCCAAACCACCAGAAGTCCTTACATGAATTTGAAAGATGAATCTTCCAAAAAAAATATTTAACAGTTTTTCAATATTTCCCCACACATCAATTTCCTAATAATAGTTTCAAAATTAAATAAATAAAACTTTTGAGTTTTAATTAACACTGTGTTTAACAATCTTTAGGTGTCAGACATTGCTCAAACATTCAATAGAAATTTAAACAGAAAACTAGTGATAAATCCCAAATAAAATTGGGATTATTTTCATACCAGGACGACCCCTGGATTATTTTCATAGCAACCTTTCGAGATATAACAAGAACAAAACCATGAAATACAATATTTTAATATATTGCATGCTCATGGGCTTTGTTTTGAAATGCTAAGTAATAACATAATTATGAAGTTGATAATTTCAATGAGATTTTGAAATTACAAATAAATTAACAATTAAAGAAGTTTATTTCATTTCTATCAAAGTATTAGGATTAGTAAAATTAAATCATTTTTAAATAATTTAACATCAGATACACAAAGCAGTTTTGTCTAAATCAGGATACATAGTAATTTTTGAAAATTGCAGTAATCTTTTGTTTATATTTATTGAAAAAGAACTGCAGAAAAAAAATTTAAATATTGAAAAGGATACTGAAAAATTTATAACATGTATCCCTGCAAAGACACTTTAAATCAAGATTAAACTTAAGTATAAACTATAGAATACTTACATCATCTAAAAGAGTAAACTTTTCTTCATACAGTGGAATGCAAACAAATGACTGCATATTTCCTCCAACAATAAAAAGAGCAACTGTAGCTAACATTAATACTGAAGATACCAAGAAAAAGTAATAAACAGCCCTGAAAATTATAAACAAAAAACAAATCATAAAACATAAGAATATAATATTTCAAAAAAATTCCTTTGATAATTTTTAATGTAAAAATCTTGCATTGCTTATCTCTAAATTTTCATTTAACTTATGACAAACCATCAGATCAAGAAACAAAAGAAATTAACTTAAAGCAAACAAAAATTTACAAGTATATAAATTACATCATTTTAGCAAATAATACTGTGAAAAATGCAATTTATTTAAAACATCCTATATAAGTATTATGAATTCATTGAGTTAAGCGTGTAGTATACAACCACAGATATTTGGGAAATTTCAACAGTTCTTGGAATTAAATTTTTTTTATTCTAATCATGAAATAAAAAAAAAAATTTAAAAAGTATACAAGAATGACATTTTGTTTGTTTTATAACAGTCTTTGAACAGCTTACACAATATCTTGGGTTTACGTCTACGAATGTTCAACTCCGTAGCCTTGTAATTTTGAACACAATCCAGAAGACAAGGAACCCCTGGATCAAGCATTGGGAGAAATTTGCCTTCGTAAAGGACTTTTTGATAGAACTAGTCCACATTTGCATTACATGATGAGGAAAACCATGAAACCTCCCACAGTTAGCCTAACTGCAAGGGGACTCTAACCCATGATCCATCTACCACTGAGGATATTGGTCAGTATCATATTATTTGATGACCATTAGTCTATCCCACTAACAATGAAATTATGTAACTAGTTATCATGCTGTGTTGTAATAATGAAAATTCTTTTACATCGCCATTGTAACTAAAACAGGGAAAACTGCAGAGATACGATAAAACAACGAAAATCATTCTTCTTTATTAGGCATTTTTAAATTACAAATTAATCATTAAGACATCTATTATACAGAGATAAAGTCTGATTAGTTGCAGCACTGAATTAATGAGTTGTACCCCTGTATTGAATTTAAAAGTTTGCCGTTACATTGATTATTAAGAAAACAAAAGTATTTATATAAAATTTAAGTGCAAAATCTGTGCATCGCGTATGAAATATAACAATTAGTGACATGACAGTTTCTGAGTAAAATTGCCGGTCAACGAAGTATTGCGCACATAAACTTAATTATGATTTTGTTCTTAAATTTTCTCTAAAATAACTATAATTTAGCCATACTGATGTTTTAATAATCATAGTTAATAAAAAAATAAAATTATTTTATCTTTTAATAAAACATAGGGTAACAAACATAAAGAACATACATGGGAATGATTTTACATAGAAAGAAATCATACATGGGAATGATACTTTTAAAAGAATCGAGTAGAAAGTGTAAATCGAGTAAATCAAAATTCAAGTACAGAACAAAGAAAATATAATAACGATTCTTAAGTACATTTCGAGAAAATTGCAAATTCAAATTATTTTTAAATTTTATTAGAATATTGAAAGAAAGAAAAATATTTTTTTAGTTTAAATTACATTGAATTTTAATTTAAGTGTATAAAAATTCAAAATGCATGAAAAAATGTTATAAAATTACTTTAAACAGTGAATATTGAAAAATTCCAGAAACTAAATCAGAAATCAAAATTCAATGTTTGCATATAAAAAGGAGTTTCAATTTATGTTAATTTCAATTTACATTTCTTTCAACATTTTCGTTACAAATATTTAAATTTTTTACAAACAAAGTGACGAAAAAACAAGTAAAGGTACTAAATTTAAAAAGTAATGAAGTACAAGTAAAAGTAAGTAGTTTTCATTTCAATTTTTGTTACAAGTAATGAGAGTAAAAATGCTGCCATGTATGAAATAATTTAACCAAATAAAAAATTACATATTTAATTTATGTTAATAATTTAATAAAGCTGACATGTACAGGGTATCTGCTACATTTTAGATTTTCAAATTCATGACTTTCCATGACTAATTCCAAGAATTTTTCACAACTTAACGAAGTTACTATTTTCTCCGACAAAAACACAACAATAAATTTAAAAAAGCATTATAATAACATTCATTGAAATGATAGGTATAACCAAAACTGCTATACTCTGCATCTTCATATTTATAGATTTGAAATTTAGAAAACGGAGTAAAGAAAGAGTTGAAGCAATAAAATAGCTGAAAAAAATACAAAAGCAAATTTTTTTCCTGCACAATTACATTCTAAAGATACTTTTCTCGTTCATCGGAAAGGAAAGAAATACTCAGGATTTTTCTATCCTCATTTCGGAATAAAAAAATTCGCCAATGACTGGCTTGCTTCAGCTAGAATTTTAAATTGATAAAATAAAAAATAATAACAAAAATTCTGAAATCACAGAAGTTTAAAAGATAATTCGCTCTAGAAATTATGTTTTTTCTTTCATTTTTTGAAAGAACACCATAATTTTTAAAGAACACGATAAAAACAATTTAATATATTAATCAAATATGACTGTGAGTTGAGATTTTGTTACGAATTCAGATATTCGGAACACCATGAAATGGGGGGAGGGGCGTAAATTCGATTTTAAAAATTAGACTTTTCGGCGACCTATATCCATGACTTATCATGATTTTTTTTTAAAAATTTTAAAATCATGACGCGGATACCCTGCATGTATAAATGTTGGCAATAATTTGTATAAGGTGAAATTATGTTGTATAATGCACAAAAGAATCATAATAAAATTAGTCTTGAAAGATTATATATCATATTCCATATAAATATTAAAAGGAAAATTTTATATAAATACTAACTCTGATATAAAATTATTGATTTTTAAAATATATCATATATTTTCAAAACTGTGTTTTTTTTTTCCTCCTTAAAATGGCTCAAGGAAACAACACCCCAAAGTAACATACAAATTTAAAATGAACATTCCAATCTACAAAAGAAATTTAAATTAAATAACAAACGATTACTACAGAGGACTACATTAAAGACAAAAAATATTGCATCATCAGTTTGAATAAAAATACTAATGACTTAATTAAAAACACTTACAAAATAAAGCAATATCCAGCACAGTTAGATGCAGATGACCTCTTTGTAGGGTGGCGTTCTTTTTCATGTCCACAACACCCACACACAAGTCCAAGTGTGAGTAGTAATACAGGCAGCAATAAAACCAATGCTATCCCAAACATAACCCACCACCTAAAATAAGAGCATTCAGAGCTATAAATACCAACAACCCAGAATAGTAGCTAGGTTGTGTGAATATGAACATTTATTTATTTTAATTAAGTGAATATTCGCATGATTTTTAAATCGCACGAATATTAATTTCGATATTTGATTTTGAAATCATGCGACTTACTGCACAGGAAAAAGCTACAATAAAAAATAAAGTTTATAAGAGACGCTCTGTTATAATGCAGCACTATAATTAGAACAGGAAAACAGCAGAAACAAAAACAGAAAAAAATTCCAATTCTTGAAGGTAAAAAATTTTGCAAAAAATTATGAAATAGACTTGCCTGAATATAATTTTTCTTAAAAATCAGCAGTGCATAACTAATGGTTCAGTATAAAATAATCTAGAGCATAAATTAACAAGTAAATTATTCTTTAGTAAATCTATTCTGATTCCCCAAAAAAAACTTTCTTTAAATGTACTTTTCAAAAAAATACTTTGCCGAATATTTGGTTGAATATTCAGCTGATTATCAGGCCAAATATTCTGATAAAAATACATAACTCTGTAAAAGTTTTCAATTTCTAAAAATTCTTTGAAGTCACAAAATTCGTGCTTCCAAAACAATAAAGTGATAATTAAAATAATTAATATAAAGCAACTTTAAAAAAAACTATTATTCATAACATCATCTATTATTCATAACATCATTTTTCTTGAAATTGAGAATTACTTTAGATTTTTCTTAAAAGTAAATTTGCTTTTCTTAAAATTTCATGTGACATTAACATGCTTTTAATTAACATTAAAAGAATAAGTGCCTATGTAGACTATCGTTATTATGTATACTATCATTATTTTATTATTAGCATTTATATTATTTTTTATTAACGCAAATAAATTATGATTATTTTATGCACAGTTAACATTTTTAAATATTTTACCCTGTTTAATTATAAATCAGAATTTCATTTAAAAAAAAACATTTAAACAAGTTGTAATATTTTTAATGGTATAAAACAGGGGTGGGCAATCTTTTTTAGTTGAGGGCAAAAGATCGAGAAAAAAAAGTTTGGTGGGTCAGATAAAAATTGCTAAAATAAATAAAATAAAAAAACAATATACAAGTTTTAATTTAAATATTCAATGAGATTAATGAAATTGTGACTTCAGTTTTAAAAGTTCCTTATATTGAGGTTCCAAGTGAGATGTACTTATTTTAAGGAACTTGGCTAAATGTTTAGTTATTAGTCTACTTCTGAAATGATTTTTTCTAAGGTTCATCATTGCAAACACTTGTTCACATATATAAGATGAAGCATATATGGCACTGATTTTCTGGGTATGATTCATTAAATTTGGGAAACTAACTTTTGGTAATGATTTGTAAAACTCAAACATTGGCATACTTAGAAACAACTGCTTTAGATGGCGCCAATCTACGGCTATTCTGTAAAGAACTTCTTCTTTCAACATTTTACCAATTGAAGCTGTCTGTGTTAGCTATTTCCATCAATTTATGCTTTGTAGGACAAAAATAGAGAAAGTAAAAATGTCATCTGCAACTTTGTTAAAAAAGAAAGAACGAAAATAGCTTTAAACACAGACAAGAAAATGGATGTATATCGTTTATATTCTCCACGCATTGGCAAGTTCAAATTCTATACACGGGCCGGATAAGACTTTCCGGTGGGCCACAGTTGGTCCGCGGGCCGTAGTTTGCCCATCCCTGGTATAAAAATATACTCAGTGGCCTGACATCCCATAGAAAACAAGGTCTACTGTTCCCATCTCAGTTTTCTTGACTGTGGGCTCTGGAGTACAAGAGCAGATGTTTCAGCAGATTGGTCAGCCGAACGCGGAACCTCCAGTGTTTAGTTCCCAAGCATGCTTGGTACTAATTTTATCGACCCGCTGAAGGAATGAAAGGCTGAGTCAATGTTGCATGGCACAAAGATCAAACCAATGATTTTTATGATGTAAGAGAAAAATAAATGATAACTCGATTTAAAACTAAGCTTTCTCTTTAATAAATACCTGTATGGTTCAATTCCATCAGTTTCTTTAAAACGACTTTCCAATTCTTCCTTTCCAATTTTAGAAAATTTTCTCATCTGTAATTTGATATGAATAAGTACGACCATTGAATTAATTTTAGTGATATAACAAACTAAAAAGAAAATAAATACTAACCTTATCAGTATAATATTTTGTTTCTTCTTTAATTTTCTTAGCAACAGTTTTATCATCTGTAGTAGCTTCTTCAACAAAACCTAAAATAACATTAAGAGAATAAAATTACTTACACTAATAAAAAAAAATTATTAGGTTGGTGTAAACCTATTTCACAGATTGCATTTTATTAATTCAAATGACCCTGATAGCTGAGTTTACAAAGTGAATCTCTAACAATCTCATCAAGAATCTAAATTATTCTGCGACCTCAATGCAGTCAGATATTATTGTAAAAATACAGTTTCGTCTAACATACATGTAGCAAAATTTGCAAAGGTAATGTTTTTAAAAATTATACATAAAAACTAGTTAAAATTTAAGTTCAATTTTAATCAATACTAAAGAAAAAAATCCTCATTTAGTTAAGTCTACAGATAAAAGTTGTTGTTTTTTTTAAAAAAAAATCTAAATTCAGCTTTTTAATTTATTTTCTAAACAAGTTTTGAGATGTTTTAAAAAAAAGCCTCAGCAGTTTCCCACATTTTTTTTTGTTTGTCTTTTAAAAATAAAATTTAAATGAAAAATAATCTGCAGATGCTGTAATAATATGCAGTGTTCGCTGTCATGCTGGAATGTTTCTACTACTACCGAGCAAATGACTACTAAAAATAAAGATTATGCTTTTAATATGATGTAGTTTACAAGCTAAAATATAAAGATGCCCCAGTCTTCGAGGAATACAAGATTTATTTGAAAAGAATTAAGCAGGCTAAAATGACGCATGCAAGGCCAAAATGTTGCTACTACCTTGCAAGTCACATCGCTTATATTCAAAATATGGTATTAGAGGTAAACTAAGTCTGATGTTAAATAATAAGCGGAAAAAAGATAGAAACAAACAAATCAAACAGAAAGTATACTAAGGCACTTCCAGTTTGTGTAACCCATGTAACCTTATAAACTTTCTCCATCCAAAGCGGTGTATTTGATACGAAACTAACATAATGCTATGTAATAAAAATTACAATTTAATAACGAAATTTTATCTGCTTGAAAAACTTTGCTTAGCAAGCTTTGTTAAGGACAAGTAAGCTTTCAAAATAAATGTAAGGAAAAAAACATTTCTGTAATAATTTTTTTTTTTTAAATTTTATGACTACGGCAAAAACACCTTTAACTAATATTTATAAAGATAATAATCTAATCAAATTAATGTTGCATGATAGCAATTAAAACTACTAATATTTTAAACTGCTTCTTATTAAACACTATTTTAATACTAATCTTCAAAAAAGATGCAAACTTTGATACAATAATGTATAACAAATAAGCCTGTAAAATAGAAGTATTTTGTTGCGTGTGGTAATTTTAAAGTGTCACAACATCAAGTGTGAATAAACGATTATTAATCAATAAATGGCAAAGCAGAGGACTTTGGAAATAAAGGTTAAAATTCATAAGAAGTTAACTATAAAAAAAACCAACTTAAAAACAGCATTTCTATGCACGATCACTAAAATTGAATCACATCTAATTAATCTCATTTTTAAACAACATATTAAAAATATTTACGTTTCAAACTTTCACTCTCCTGTTCTATCTTATTTCTTAAAAAGGTGTTGTTTTGTATCTGAAATAAAAAAAAAAATCACAATTTTAATTAAATGCAGCTTACTATAATCTTACAAAAAATACATTAAGATAACATAGATTAACAAAACACAATAGAGTGCAGGTTTTTAACATGAAATTCACTGTATTCTTATTTCTGATTATTTTATAAAAAGGTAGAGTCAATAGAATTTATATCACTGTAGAGGATTTTCTTAAATATAATGCTAATACATTTGGTAGGTATATTAATAAAATTATGAAATCATATTTACCTGATCTATTACACTTCTTAATTGATCGAAGTTTGCTTTAATGAGTTTCTGAAATTCCTCATGAACATGAGTCTGGAATAAAATTATCAACAAAAATAAGTTCATTTAAATAATAATAAATGTTTACAAAATTACAATTTAAAAAAGGAAGTATGATCTTACATAAGCATCATCAATATTGATGCGTTCTATAGGCAAATCCTGCAAAGTCAATTGGCACAGTTTTTTGTTAGAATTTGTACAGTTATGAATACTCTTCATATGTTCCCTTATGCTTGAAATGCTAGACTTCAGATGTTTTACAGCGTCAGATAATATAGATGCATTGACTACAGCATCATATTGGTTTTCAACAGACAAGACCCCTAAAAATTAATTAAACAGTAATTAATGATATAATGCAGTAGATAATTTTTTATTCATGAAAATAACTTCTACTTAACTACTATGTCCTGAAATGCATGCATAAAAATAATCAAATTCTAGAAGAAAAATATTTGTCAACTAACTAAACTATAATTTTAACAATATATGTTAACTAACAGACCTTTTTTAAAAAATAATAAAAATTATTCACTAAGAGTTTAAAAATTTTCAATGAAAATGCAGAAATATTAGCATGTGTTCTTTTTTATTTTTCAAAAGTATCAAAAATAAATTTTCAAAGTTCTTCTCATGACAGCAGAGCTGTGCCAAATATTAAAAAAAAAAAAAAAAAAAAAAAAAAAAAAAAAAAAAAAAAAAAAAAAAAAAANCCGCTTTTTCGTGGAAGTCTTTCATCCCTTGGAGACGTGAACGGCAAAATGATCTCCAATGACTCACGGCAATGCGGATTAATATTTGAAACTGAATTCAGGTTTGCCAAATTTTGGACGTTTTGTCTCAGAATGGCGCAGCTTTGGCAGAAACTGAGCTGAATGTCGCAAAATGGCGCAGTTATGCCGTTTTGTCTCAGTTTGTCGCAAATGGCGCAGGCGTAGCATCCCTGTCATTAACATTTTTGGTACTGAAAAGTACACACTTCTCTCGGGGATTGCGGCGCGGCTGGTGATCTGACCATCATGGTCAGCGAGCCATGCCAAACCACCCCAAAGCTACATTTTTTTTGCCATTTTTCGTTATTCATTTAGTTATACTTTTTTTACGATGCCTAAATGTATTTTTTTTATATATGACGGACCACCCATCCCATTCCAAAACTGATACTGTTGTAAGACAAAGGAACAATTAAAAATAAACTTGTGAGCGAGTTAAGCGTTGTATTTTCTTTTGGTTTTCATCACTTCAAAATGTCCGATGTTAGACCTGTCTCCATGATGTAAATAATAAGTGGTGAGTAACATTCTCATATTTTCCTTTTTTTTGACCAGTGTTTATTTGCACAAACGTAAAATTTTATAGATGTTATTCAGTCGTCCTTTAACTTTATCTTGACCACGAGCCCTTGCTGTTGGGTTAATTCACGTGGCACTTAAGCAACATGTCCTTCTACTATTTTCCATCACTTTCGGCCTTTTCTTTCCATCATTTAATAATGATCCAAATTTATTATTTAATTAATCTCTCATTTTTATTTGATTGTCTTAAACTTTATCGACTGAATACCTCTATCAAATGTTACAACCCATTCCTTGTATAATAATATATTCTAATGGTAACATCACCTTTAATTAACATTTTAAGATATTTAACATCGGTCCTTTATTTTTAAATTTATAATTACTTTAAATTTCGGTACATGAGCTATTGTAAACAATTTTACAATTTTTTTTTCTTTGGTACAAATACTAAAAAATTAAATAAGTTCTCATGCAGTCCTCAAGAAACAGAAAAAGTCCTTTTTAAGAAGAGAAAAAAAACATTCTCTCAATTAAGTTTTTAAATTTTTTTTTCTTAACAAGTATTGACATGTTTTAAAAAATGGCTTTAGGAATTTCCTACATTTTTTTGCTTGCCTTTTAAAAACAAAACTTAGATGAAAAATAATCTTCAGATGCTGTAATAATATGCAGTGTTCGTTGCTGTGCTGGAACGTTTTTTCTACCAGGCAATTGACTACTAAAATGCAAACTACATCACATTAAAAGTATAATTTCTAAGTTAAAATATAAAGATGCCTCAGTCTTTGATATACAAGTTTTCTGTGAAAAGAATTAAGCAGGCTAAAATGCTGCATGCAACTACCCTGCAACTCATATCACTTATATTCAAAACATGGTATTAGAGGTAAACTAAGTTTGATATGAAATAATTAATGGAAAAAAGATAGAAACAAACAAATTAAATAGAAAGTACACTAAAGCACTTTTAGTTTGTGTAACCCATGTAACCTAATATTTTCTCCACCCCAAGCGGTGTATTTGATAAGAAACAATAACATAATGTAATAATAAATTATAGTTTAATAATGAAACTTTTAACTACTTAAAAAACCTTACTTCACATGCATTGCTTACCACAAGTAAGCTTTAAAAATAAATGCGAAGAAAAAAAATTCTGTTAATATTTTTTTCAAATAATTGTATGACACAGGTCAAAACACCTTCATCTAACTAAAATTAGGGTTAAAATTCATAAGAAGTAAACTATAAAAAAACTTACAAACTGCAATTGTATGCACGATCACTAAAATTTAATCACATCTAATTAATCTCAATTTTAAACACATTAAAAATACTTACGTTTCAAACTTTCACTCTCTTGTTCTATCTTATTCCTTAAAAAGGTGTTATTTTGTATCTGAAATAAAATAAAAAAATCACAATTTTAATTAAATGCAGATTACTATAATCTTATAAAAATACATTAAGATAACATAGATTAACGAAACGCAATAGAGTGCAGGCTTATGAACATGAAATTCACTGCATTCTTATTTCTGATTATTTTATAAAAAGGTAGAATCATTAGAATTTATATATTTTCTATGATTGGGTACATGTCATCACTGTAGAGGATTTTCTTAAATATAATGCTAATACATTTGGTAGGTATATAAATGAAATTGTGAAATTATAATTACCTGATCTATTACACTTCTTAATTGATCGAAGTTTGCTTTAATCAGTTTCTGAAATTCCTCATGAACATGAGTCTAGAATAAAATTATCAACAAAAATAAGTTCATTTAAATAATAATAAATGTTTACAAAATTACAATTTAAAAAAGGAAGTATGATCTTACATAAGCATCATCAATATTGATGCGTTCTATAGGCAAATCCTGCAAAGTCAATTGGCACAGTTTTTTGTTAGAATTTGTACAGTTATGAATACTCTTCATATGTTCCCTTATGCTTGAAATGCTAGACTTCAGATGTTTTACAGCGTCAGATAATATAGATGCATTGACTACAGCATCATATTGGTTTTCAACAGACAAGACCCCTAAAAATTAATTAAACAGTAATTAATGATATAATGCAGTAGATAATTTTTTATTCATGAAAATAACTTCTACTTAACTACTATGTCCTGAAATGCATGCATAAAAATAATCAAATTCTAGAAGAAAAATATTTGTCAACTAACTAAACTATAATTTTAACAATATATGTTAACTAACAGACCTTTTTTAAAAAATAATAAAAATTATTCACTAAGAGTTTAAAAATTTTCAATGAAAATGCAGAAATATTAGCATGTGTTCTTTTTTATTTTTCAAAAGTATCAAAAATAAATTTTCAAAGTTCTTCTCATGACAGCAGAGCTGTGCCAAATATTAAAAAAAAAAAAAAAAAAAAAAAAAAAAAAAAAAAAAAAAAAAAAAACAGAATAGAGAATTTCTAAATTATACAAAATATTACACAACCCAATTCAACATACAATGTAAAACAACAGACACACAACCTGATATGTTATAAATTCAAAATATCACCTGTTTTTTATTGTCATAAAATAAAGTTGAAAAAAAATAATAATAATAAAAAACGAGGAAATTTAGAAGTTGTCAGGTTAAATAAAAATAATAAAATATATTTTTCAGTAAATTTTAAAAAATTAACTTAGTTACTATTTACTTCAGAATTCTTTTCCTAAGAAAACTTAAAATTGTAAGCCAAAAAAGAAAAAGAAAACACAATTTTATTAAGGCATATTTTATTTGAAATAATTTATAATCAGCAATTTGCAAATCATTTCTTGTACCCCCAAATCAGTTTTTCTTTTCTTATTCAAGAGAATTACACATAAATTCATTGAAATTTAACTTTTGGATTAAGCCAAAAAGTTAAAGGTTAAAATATACATCATATAAAAGGTTATTATTTATACAGGAATGCGTCTCAAAATTATCTTGAAAAATAACAAATACTTACAAGTAACTATGTTTTTTATGTCTTCTAATTTCTCATGATCTATTGAGCTGGATATATTTTCATGTACTAGTTCCACAAAATTAGCCTTAAATGCTGGAAAAAAATATAACATAAGTTTAACGATTTTTGACACTCAAGAGTATCTAATTTTTACTTTCAACTCTATTTTATAATTTTTGTTTTGTTTTTTTAGAAAAAAAGCAGAAAATCACCTTCATAGTTTTTTATTGGACTACCCTGTGCTTCTTTAAGAGCATTATCAACATCCTAAAAAAACAGAAAAATATAAATTTTTATACAAGTTAAAATTAAAATAATTCTTAAATATAAAATTATTAATATTTGCAAGTAAATCATTAGAAACATAACAATTGCACTATCTACATATTTGTAAAATAAAATTTAAATATTTTTTTTTTAAAAAAATAAGTCTAGAATTTTTCAAATTTTTGTACTCTTATTTAAATTTGCAATAAAAATCACAATAACATGAGAAGAAAAAACATCAAGGGAAGAGACAACTTAAGCTTTTTATGAAAAATATATATAATGAAATTCTTTACAGTTCTAGCATTTTAAAAAAAAAAGTTTTAAAGTTGATTCCTTCTTTTTAATAGTAAAAAGAGGACATGTTGCTATACAATAAAAAACTCAATGGAAGAACATGTTAATAACACCTTCACCCCCCCCCCTATTTTTTATATTTTTTCTTCTTTTTTTGAGTCTGAATTTAAGAAATGAAAATGCTGTTTTAGTACTATCTAAGACATCAATGGATAGCGATGTTGAGAAACATTTTGAAAACATCTGATCTTCCTTGTTTACATTAACAGACTAGTTTCACTTAGCTTGAGAATAGTTACTCAATGCAAAATATTTGTAAAATTAATTCTGCAAATACTAAATCCCAAGTATAGAGCACATAAAATTAGTTTAAAAAAACAGGTAGAAGTACTTTTGAATATAAAATGTTTGTTTTTACATATTCCAATGAAGCTAGTTTTTACATATTCCAATGATGATCTAATCAAATTAAACAAAAATATTTCTTCAACTAACAATTGTTAATTATTTAATTACTGTGTTTTGAAAAAAATATAGCAAGAAATTATAATTTGTAAATAATCATAAAAGTTTATACACACCTTGTCAGTATCATTGGCAAAATTATGTACAATATTAAAAACTTCTGTAACATTTCCTTTAACATTTGGGAATGAGTGCATCATGTGTTGATTAATGATGCACATGCAGACAATAGGTACACTAAAAATGTAAATAGAATCAATAAATTAAAAATTATTCTCTACTATATAATATATGTAAAACCAAATCCTAAATTTATTTATTTTAAATAATTTTGTTTTGATCCAAAATAACTATCTTAAACATTATTAAAGTATAAGTCATACAATATAGATACTGCAATATACAATACTCTGATATACATTTTATTTCATAGATATATAAGAAACCTGATTAACTGACACTCACAGAATCAATGATAATCTGAAAATCAAACACATTAGACAATGGACAGGATTTAATTAATAAATATTTTTTTAATGAACAAACATTAAACTGTAACTGAACATTAAACTATGAAGACATTAAAGTAAAAAATATACCACCGTAACTACACACCACTCTGATTAAACATATCAGATGGAAACAAAAATGCATGACATCAGGAAGGTAATTATAAAATAACTAAGGTGACAGTCGGTCAAATGTACACTTTTATTATGCTATGTCACAAAGTTGGTTTATGAGCATTTTTATTATTAAAGGATTGTTTAGCAATTTACAAATGCAGATTACTAATATTCACATATTTTATGAATTGTGATTTATGAAACCTAGACAGTCATTATCATTGCAATTATGAAAAAATTAAGACATCATATCATATAAATCATATTATCAACATGCTAAAAAACAGAGGTCAACAAAAAATAAAAAAACTCAATCATAATCTGGACATTTAAAAGTACTTTCAATTTTGCAATAAATGAAATGAAAAGTATAAAAAATTAAAAACAATGTTTTCATTGCAATTTGACGTACAAGCAAAAAAAAAAAAAAATTTACTTCTCAAAAATATTAAAAAGTTTATCTTTCACACCACTTTCCAATAAGTAATAAATTTATTAAGAAAAATTTTCAGCAGCAAAAATGTAGCATTCCTTTTTCATAGAATGACCAAAAGTGAGAAATTGGATTTACAACTTCGAAAAGCTGAATTTTGTGATTTTTGGTTAGCGCAATTAATTAAAATAAAAAATGTCAAATCAGAAATTCAAATCTTTCAATTCTATTATTTTAGAATTCTAATTTGTAATTTGTATTAAGTAGAAATTGGAATATATTGAGGGCCCACTAAAATCAGGAACACCAGAACAAAATATTTTGAATCCGGAAGTGTTTGTGAGTATTATCTGAGAAACTAAATTTATAATTTGGACAACTGAATTTTGTGATTCGTGTTAGCACAATTAATTAAAATAAAAAATGTTATGTCAGAAATTCACATCTTTCTATTCTTTAAGTCGATTATTTTAAAACTCTGGTTTGCAATTTGTATTAAGTAGAAATTGGAATATACTGAAAGCCTACAAAAATCAGGAACATCAGAGCAAATAAAGACAAAATATTTCAAATCAGTAGAAACTACAATCCCATCCTATATGACTATTCTATATGTGTATGTATTATCTGAATATAACTACTGGATTTAAATATTTTATCTCAAGAACATATTTTAAGTCTTAATAGATTTACGTTAGCAGTTTCAAGCAAATAACATAAGACTTTAAAATATTAACAATTTTTACATGGTAACTTATTAGCTTTGGATAAAAGATTTTTAAAAAAAAGGTGCTTTAAATTAACATTAAAATATGGCTGAAGTTGATAAAATTAAAGATTTGTATAATTCTGTATTAAAAAAAATAATAAAAAGGCAAATTTAACTTACACAAGAAAAGCTATCATGAATATTAGACAGAACTTATGGAAATTCCTCCAGCAGTTATCAGTGTGTCGTTGCTTTTGGCTATTTTTGGCACCACAACGTCCACAAAAACGACAACAAAAGAAGAAAAGTCCGGAAATTAACATAACAATGATATAGATGATACCAATGATAACCATACTCAGGAATGCATAGTTCATTTCTGCCAACTATTAAAATAGAAAATTTAATCAAAGATTTTAGATTTTATAAAAGTAATAATTTAATAATGCAAATTAAATAAAATGAAATATAGTAGGGTTCACAACTTAAAGGAAAAAAAATTTTTTTTAACTCTCAATATTTTCTCAGCTTCGGAATCAATATACAAATGATACTTACATAGCAAGGGCCAAATACTTCTAAATGATTTTGGTAAGTGATATAATTATACCATTTTAAATTCATTTTTCTGTCATACTTCTGAAGAAAAATAAATCACAAAAGTTGCTCAAAAAAAGGATTTCAGTTCTTAAGTTGAATTTGATTAAGAAAAAGTTGGGGGGGGGGGGACTACTTTTTCACAGATTTTAAAGCTAAATCATTTTTAAACAAATGGAACATTTTCGGTCATTATTTTCAGTTTAGATCTTTGATTAATATTAATAAAGCAAAGGTAATTAATATTAATAAAGCAGGGTAAGATAAAATAAAAAATGTAACTATTGTATTATCAAATTTTTACAATTCTTTAACCCATTTCAAAAATTTAAATAAGATCTCAAAAACACATGTAATATATTTCCCTCCCCCAAAACTTGATTATTAGTCTGTTACCCAGTACTGTAAAAAAAAAGAAGAAAAAAAGAGAGTTAAAACAAATAACATAAAAACAATGAGTAGAATCGAAATTACCTTCAGAACAGTCTCTTGAGGAGATAATGTATGTTTTCCAGAAACAATATCTATGACATAATCTGAAGGGGGGAAATGAAAAAAAAAAAAAAACATTAAGATAGTTTCAAAAGGAACATATAAAGCTTAAATAACAAAATTTTATGCTTTATATATCAAATGCACCATCATAACTACACAAAAATTTTTGATCACATTACAAAGTATAATCAGTAAACATGGCTCTTCATGTTTATAATTTAAATAATAACTACAAATCTATTGCTTGAAAGAACAATTTTCTTTAACAAATTATGTTAAAAATTTTTACTTTGCATAAATTTTACATAAAAATTATGAACATAAAAAAAATTTTTAGTTTATTATGAAAACAAAGAAATTTATAAAGCATCTAGAAAATTTATAACTATGTCCACTTTAAAATCCTGAGTATCAAAATATTCAACACATTATAATTGATAAATATAAATGTGTGTTATTATTTTGATATAAATTAAGCAACTATTTCTTACACTATTACTTGATAAAAAATTAATTTCATTTGATTCAAAAATATGCAGATTTGAAATAGCAGTCAATTCATGATTCGCAATAGTCATGTTTCAAGTGTTTAAAAGACAGACACCCATTTTCAAGACTTGCCAGGTGTGAAAGAGAAGAAACAAAAGTAATTTGAAATATAATATAAAATGCAAATTTGCCAATAAAATGTAAAAATAAAAGTGAAAAACAAAACTAGTAAAACTGCAGTGGCCAAAAGAGAAAAAAATGAAAAACAAAATATAAGAAAAACCACAGTAGTGGAGAGGGTCAAATCAGGGTTTCTGATTTGTCTCTATGGACCCTGAAATCATTCCCGGATTTGTTTTTTTCCCTCCACTGTGGTTTTTCTTATTCTGTTTTTCTTTTCTTTTTTTTTCTCTCTTGGCTACTGTGGTTCATTTAGTTTAGTTTTTCATCGTTATTTTTCTATTTTTTAATGACAACTTTATGCTTTATATATTTTAAATCACTAGCTTTTTCTCATTCACCTCTAATAAAGACTTGAAATTGGTGCCTGTTTTTAAGCACTTGAAACAGGTTGACTGTTACCAAGGAATGTATTCTTTACTAAGGAATGTATTCTTTACTAAGGAATGTATTGCTTACTAAGGAATGTATTCTTTACTAAGGAATGTATTCTTTACTAAGGAATGTATTCTTTACTAAAGAATGCATTCTTTACTTAAAATAGTATGCTTTACTAAAAATAGTATGCTTTACTAAGGAATGTTTTCTTTATTAAGGAATGTTTTTCTTTACTAACGCAAATATTCTTCAGTAAGAAATTATTTACAAAATGTCAAAAACCAATTTACCTAGTTTTTTCCTTGAGTTTTATAATTAAGAGAAACTTGTTCACCAAGCATATAAGGTAATACAAGTTTCAAGCCTTACCTTCTGCCATATATTTTTACCTATTTTATTAAATTAGAATAACATATTTGTCAAAATCAAATGTAAATTATGAATGAATACATTGTTCCCAGCAATGGAAAATATTCTTTACTAAGGAATGTATTCTTTACTAAGGAATGTATTCTTTACTAAGGAATATATTCTTTACTAAGGAATGTATTCTTTACTAAGGAATGTATTCTTTACTAAGGAATGTATTCTTTACTAAGGAATGTATTCTTTACTAA